TCTCTCTCTCTCTCTCTCTCTCTCTCTCTCTCTCACACACACACACACACACACACACACACACACGGCTCATAGTACAGGTAGAGCACAACAGGTGTTGTAATTCCTGCTAGTAATGTTTACCCAGCCTAACCCATTGGCTGCCCAATCCTGTAACAACAATACTCTAATTACTGTGCAGAGGTTAGTGTTCCCTGTGTCCACTGAACTCAGTTCATCCTTGGTTTTGTTTACACGTTCAGGGTGTGACTCATAGACTGAAGTGAGTCAAAAGAGGGTGAACAATCCCTACAAGAGTAAAAGCCCTTATCCTGGGATAAGGGATCGTGTAAGCAGTAGGAGGACTATAATTTCTGGTGAGTGGGGTTCAGAAGTCCACAGGGAAGCACAGGGACAATTAAAAACTTTAGATAGCAATGGAATTTTTTGTTGAAATGGGCCAAGATTTTATATCCGAATGCCAGATCTTGTATCTTAACAATTTAAGCAGTCTCATAGAAAGGCAGGGACAATACATTTGTCAACTGCCCATCTGATGTGCAGGAGATCTCAGTATACTGAGCTGATGGGCAACTGAATGCACTGTAGTATTATTACAGATGGATCAACTGCTTTTACACGTAGTCTGGAAAGCAACTATATATTGTACACTATTGTATATTGGAACATGATTCTGGATTGGGAAGGTGCAATACCAAGGTTGCAAAGTTATACAGTACAGTATACAACCAACTGTGCAGTATGTGTCCCTGGTCTGTTCATCACTTGTTAAGTGAAATCTATTAGAACAAAAGGGTTGGTTATCATTCATATATTGTTTCTATTGTACAAAATACTTTATTGTACAAAGTATTTTAAAATCACAGCTTAACTCCTGCTCACAAGGATCTTCCTTTTTAACGATTATAGATATACATATACATACGCACATCCACACACATGAAGGCTGAAAGAAAACAACCTGTGTAAGGCTAAATACTTTGGTTTCTAAAATCCCTAAAACTGCTAGTTTCTAAGGCTGGGAACCTCTATTTTCATTGGATGTTTGTGTCTATATGGTCACAAAAATAATAATGTGATACTATCATAGTAGAAAATATGGAAGTCATCTTGTATCTATTGTTTAACTTAGTCTCAGAACATAAAAAGAGCCTGCTATGATAGGCCAGTCCAGTCCAGCATCCTATTCTCACAGTGGCCAACCAGATGTCTACAAGAAGCCCACAAGTAGGACTTGAATGCAACAGTATTCTCTTCTCCTGTGGCAGCTCTGTCCCAAGACATTTTAGCGCCTGAGGTGAACCACAAAATGGCATCCCCCTCACCAGAGAAAAGGGGGTGAGTGAAGTTTTACATCGGGAACAATGTGGGGAGTGAAGATCTACATCGGGAACAAAAGAGGGAATCGAATCAACTTTACCCAGTGGTTGAAGTAGGAATCAAAGGCCATTGCAGGATGCAGGAGTGGCCAGCTCTGAATCATGCTGGGCAAGTGCAGAGTCCAGGAGACCCCAGAAGGCAGCCTTTCTCACCATTTCCTCCCTCGGGCTGGGAGGAGACCAGCAGCAACTCCTGTTCACTGAGAGGCATGGAGGTGAGCTGGTGAGGAGGTGACAGATACAGTGTGCTGCAGCCATTGCTGCCACTGGTGGTGGTGGTGGCGGCGGCGGCGGCAGCATGCGATGCATTCCCTGGATTCTGGACCTGCTTTTGTGGATCCTGCCGTCTGAGGCAGTCACCTCACCTTGCCTCATGGGTGAGCTGGTCCTACCTGCAGTTTCCAGCAGCTTGTATTCAGAGGCACACTGCCTTATCCTCCATGAATTTATCTAATCCTCATTTAAAGCCGTCCAAGTCAGTGGCCATCACTGCCTCCTGTGGGATCAAATTCTATAGTTCAACTATGCTGTGCAAAGAAGTACCTTTTTAAGCCAGTTTGCAAATAATACAGCACACATAGGTATACAGAATGAATAAATCATTTATCCGGCTTGATGCTGACATCATGCTGTTGAAGTACTACAAATGCATAAGAATTTCAGCTTTTATTTATTGGAAAACAGCCAGTCTGACTCTCTCCTAGTGCTGCAGTGTTGCCTGCCTTTTCTATTGGTCTGGGACTTGTGCCAAAGGAGCACTTTAAGTATTACAGTGTAAATGTGTAGCTCTCATAAATTTATAGATATCTTTTAAAAGTGTCACTTTTCAATGACTGTGTACCAAATGCTGATTTAAAAACAAAAATGCTCGATATTTTAAAAGTTATGATTTTAACCCAGTCTCTAGATGCTAGATGTCAGTATGTTAGAACTGACTCACTGATTTTAGTACTTGAACTTGACAATCACATTACAGTTCGGTTTTATGAGATTACAGAAGAGTGGGTATTCAATCTGGTCTTTATTTTAAAACATGTTAATCCATACGGCATGCATGCTCTGCAAATTTATTTTTATTACATCTCAGGTTCTCAATATTCCATGAAGCAGAACAGCCATAATGTTGGATATGAAATCCTTGTTAGCCTTCAAATATACTAAATTATATCATTTTTGCACATGCAGAGTATTACACATCTATCCACATCTTTTTTGCTGTTTGTTGAATTACATATAAGAACTTATTTACATTTTTAAGAACACCATTAGAACATAGGAAGAACCTTGGAAGCTGTCTTATAAGTGCACCACATACACACCTTACATTTCCCCCAAAGCATATTGGGAACTGTAGTTTACCCCTCACAGAACTACAGTCCCCAGCTCCCTTACAGTTCCCAAGATTATTTGGTGGATGGAATTGTGCTTTAAACGTGCAGTATGTATACAGCCTATGTCAGACCACTGTTCCCTTTAGCTCTGCGTTCTCAACACTACCATGGAAGGGTGAATCCAATAGTTACAGTATAGCAAGACAATCAAGTTTGAGTTTATGACAAAATGCTGTGTTCAGTGAAGCCATTCTCATTTTACCACAGACATAGTACTCAGGCATGAAATGCTATCTAATATCAACACTATACATTTCATAATAAGAGTAATATAACAACAAAGATCCTATGTTTTAACTCAATCTTTTCTCCATGAATCTCAAGAATCTGTCTGCTATGCCATTCTGTCTTACTACCCAGAACATTTTGTGATCCCTTTAGTTTGACCAGCTATCTTTAGGATCATCTCCATCTTCTACAATTGGATTTTCATTTGGATCAGACATCTCTTCTGAAGCAATAATCTATCTTACTTATGGCTTAATGAAATCTGATTCAAGGAAAATAACACATGGTTCATGTTGTGGGGGTGGGGTGCCCTCACACACTTTCTCTTTAAAGGGACATGTGGGATTTATTTGTCTCTTCCAATAGTGCTAAGTATTGTGTTTACTCTACCTGAGAGAGCACATGGTCAGAAGAGTTATGAAAGACCTTGTCACTAAATTATGATGGGCTCTTTTTGGCAAGATTGCTGACTGCACTATGGAGCAACTAAGAGGCATCACAAAGATGGCCTTCCCTTGTTATGAAACACCTGCTGTGTTAAAGGAAACTGATATTTATCTGTGCACGCCAAGCATTTCAATTCATCTTCCTGAAGTGCTTTAATTAGAGCAAATAAAAATGGAGCAATTTCTGAAACAGTACAAACTGCTAGGATCTATTTCACACACATTTACTTACTTTCTTTACTTAATACAATTTCAAGTATGATTACACTGCAATGTAAGTCCATACTGAAGGTTCTCTTGGCCAATTTAATGTAAAATAAAAAAGACTTGCCAGCTGCTGCTTACAATAATCAAATTTAACTAGCTGATTTTCCAAACTTGGAGAATCAGGAGCTGTTGTTTAGTCACAAACCACATTTATAATGTAGCAAATAAGGGAACACTCTGACCCAGCTAAGCATCTTAAATTATTAATTTCAATGGAAAAATGAAACGTGTCTAATACTCTGTGACTGGAAGCAAAGTGACTTTGAAGGTGCTTACTCTCCCCGTGTCTCTGCTTAAAAACATTTCAAAAGGCTGAAGTAAAAAACAAAAAGGCAAAGTTCCTTCAGGTTACTTTGGGAAGAAATAAAGAGTTTTTCTTCTTGGAACTAGATCTAAGCAGCTAAATATTTTTACCTTCTTTCTTCCCTGAGGCTGGTTTCTTTTTACCTATGGCTACTGTATCTAGGCAAATTCCATGCATCTCAGCAACGAGTGTAGCCAAGCCAGTTTGTTCATCTCTATGAGATACTGTCAGCTACAGGAAAGCAAGAAGAACGCACAAACAAGGAAGTCCTGTTAAAAATAGCAACCGTATAATAATTTGCAAGTTGTGATTAAAGATTCAAAGAGCTGCATTCAGTGAGCGATAAACTATTTTCCTCTCAGTTTCCAATGCCATAACAAACTGTGGCTAACATGGACCAGGAAATTGAGGAAGGAATCAGGAAGCAGGCAGAGGGGGTACACAAGCACATGTTGACAGTCAAAGCCATGTCTGAAGTAAGCCTAGGCCTGGAGGAAATATAAAGGTCATTTATCCCTGGAGACTAGAATTCAATAAACCAAACCCAAAGAGAAACAAGTCTTAGCAATTTACTCGAGTTCACCTTATCCAAAATTCTGCCTCCAGTGTTGCCCAAAAGTTTAAAACTGTTCATAGGCTATCCCCAATATTGTCGCTATGGACTATACATTTAATCTTATACCACTGTAACAATCATGGTTTCCCCCGAAGAAACTTGGAAAATGTAGTTTAACAGTGCTGAGAATTGTTAAGAGACCCCTATTCCCCTCACGGAGTTGCAATTCCCAGCAGCCTTAATAAACTACAGTCAGACTGAATCAGGCAGAAGTTAGTGTAGAATAAATAAAATTGCCAGCACCTCCTTTCTCTGTGCTGCATTGAAGACCTAAGTGAAGATGTTAGGTGTGTGGTGATGTTAAACTAAAAGGGATGGTAAACAGCCATCAGAGTAGTGAGCAAGTAAATAAGTCACACACACACAAAACAAAGCGAAAAAGTGTTTTATTTATTTTTGAATACTGAGGAGGGTTCAGTTTTTTCCACTGACGTTAGTGTGTATTAATATCATGTCAACACATAACATTTGTTTGCTTTAATATCTGTTTTCTAGAGTCCTATCCTACACTACATTCAGTTTATACTAGATTACCAGCAGGCTCAAATCTAGATTCCTGGTGAGAAAATCTCCTCCAATAAACGATTGTAATTTTTTCCATCCTTTCACTCACATCACTGATTAAATGACTTCCTTAAATATTATGCTTCTGCGTTATGAGCATTATCCTATTATGCTTTCGAGTTAAGTTCATGTGACAGAAAGCCAGGCTGGGAGTGGGAGCATTCCCCATTTTTGCCTGATCACAACATCTAAAATGAAGTGAGTGGAAGGGTTCAGATCTACTTCATACTCACAGGCAAAACCATTTACACACACATATTATTAAACCAGATAGAACTCTACCTCTCTGCAACACTTGTCCATCTTAGCTTTAGCTTCATGCCTTCTTTTTCTTATCTCCTTTGCCATGATCTGGAAGGGGGACATGGGCCATCCCTTCCTCAGGTATGAACACACTTATAGTTAAATCACTTGTCTCTGTGCCATACTGGTTTTTCACTATAAGGCTGTATCTCCCTGAGTCAGCTGTACTGACAGCCGTGATGGTGAAGCTTGCTTGTTTTCCTGATTCAAATTTCAGGATGATGTGATCATCTCCTGCCAGAAGCTTTTCATTCTTCATCCATGAAACTTCTGGAGCAGGGTTTCCCCAGACACTGCAAGTAAGATTAAGCGCCTGCAGGAAACACACAAAAGTTTTTGTAAACAGTCGCTATAAATAAGCATCCTGAATATGCTCTGTTTTCACATTACTTCTATAATAAAACAGACAGAAATATCTGAGTTCCGTGTTCCAAAAATCTGATTCTGTTCTTAGGGAAGTGAATGAAGTCAACTAGTTTTGAATTATTACTGTGGCCCTTCAATATTTTACAGACTCTCCCCAGTAGTTACTACCAACTACAACACATTCATTTCAAGTCAAAATTAAATGTTGCCATCACTTGAAATATTGGGTTCTTTATTAAGCAACAGTTCTCTTAGTTTTAAAAAGGTTGCTTTTATAGGAAAGGTCACAAAACTGATTGCAAATCAGACTTCTAAATCTAAAGAACAGCTAAGCACGTAATTAAGCTGCAATTAAAGTACATTCAAGCAGTTTCATCAGAATGGCTGAGCAGTTTTATTACTAATATAATATCATATAATATAATAATATCTGTACATCTGATTCCCTCGCTTTCAACCTGAAATCAATACCCCTTGACGTTTCTCCTCCCATCATGTGCCTGATTGGTGTTTCTATTCTAGTTAATTCAAACCACAGTTTCCTCTGACATCCAAATTGATTAGAGCCATGTTTATTGACCTGGTTAGTACACAGTTTCCCAATGCAGCTGTAATATGAAATGAGCTTAAACTAACTAGGATAGGAGAGACAAAACTCGAAGATCAAAGTCCCACGACTCCCCTTTCTCTGAAATTAATGCACCCAAGTTAAGTGTGCTTGTTTAAAACACATCACTCAAAGTTTGTCCCTGAGACTCTGAAATATAGAGGGCTAGGAAAGGCCCCAGCTGAGTTAAAGGTTTTGCCTGATTAGTAATTGGACTATGAACACTGTTTAGTGGTATACCATTTGAAGCTCCCTCATATAAGGAGAAATAAGAACAAAGGTTCATAAGTGGAGTCAACAGTTGGCAAGGCAACAACCCAGCATGATTAATCCTTTCCAAATTATAGGAATAAAGTGATGCTAAATTAACAGAGTCTTTATTCGTCATATTTACAGCACAGTTTGTTTTAATCTAAGTCACATTGTGTGTTCAATGGGGCCTAATTCCATGAAAGTGCGTATAGGAATTGAAGTCTATCTTACAGGAATATGGGTTTGGGGTTTTTTGGTATTTTCCTTCAATTTATTATTAATCAGACTGGTCACTTCTAAGGGTCCTTAAACCAGGGATCAAGACGATAGATTGGCTGGCATATAAAGGTTTGCTTACATGTATGGCATGCATTTAAAGTCTGGGATAAATCATTCCATGTGATGACCATAGCTTCAATAAATACTAATAATACAGGCTATATATTTTTGAATGCCTATATCAGTGCTTACATTATATAATGATGATGTATACAGAGCATTTAGGAAAAAAATATTTTGGCCAAGGAAAAAAAATCTGAAGTATAGCTGAAATTCGGAAAAGGCGGCATCTCAACCTGAGTTTTTCACAGGACAGGAAAAAATGTGTTTCCAATTTTCTTGCTGCATAAAAGCTCCCTGTCTGTAGTCTTGAATGCCAAATGTCAGGCTGAAGTGAATTTTTATTACCCACTTACACAGCACTGAGAACACTGTTTCATTATGTAAGTGCTAGCATAACCAGAGCACAGCTAGCAAAGTAATGCACCTATATAAAACTATACAGTGCCAGCTATGAGATACACATCAGACAAGATGAGATGATAGCATTTTTCCATTGTACTGCTGCACAGCCAGAAAAATTCTCAATGAACTGATGAGGGCTAAGCTAGATGTGATACAGGAGACCAGTGACCAGAATGTCTGACATGTTTTTTCATATTAAAAGCATAAAAAGGAGAGAAGGTAGAAACTGGATCGGACCTACAGTGCCCAGGGAGATTATCTAAATTTTCCTTCACTTATATTATCCCATGAATGACTATTAGCCATGGTAGGATAAATATGTAGGTAACCATAAAATAAAGCAGAAGGAAAACATTTTATTTTCTACTTGTTTTTACTTTTAAAGTTTCATTAATATAATCTGTTCACTTGTTTTCCATTGATTTTAGTGGAAGATCCAGCCATTCTTCTGCTGCCTTTAACTATGGTGTTTGGTTCATTCAAATTGCATGACATTCCATACCCCACTTATCTAGGCATCAGACATGTCAAATTTCAGATATACAGGATAGAGGGTCCTTGTTCTATTTACAATTTTAAAAGGTGCATAGACACAGCCACCCTAAATATCACCCTGCTTATATCCAAACTAAACAGAGCCTCCCAGTCTGTTAATTTCACTGATTTCCCCCTTTCTGTAGACTCCATCAATGTTAATGAATGCTCCCAAATGTATGAATAAATGAACCAATTTTCAATTTTTATACTTTCAAGCTCTTATTTGAATAAAAATGAGCAAATATGGGAGCGGGGCTCACTCATTGCACTTTAAAAATGAATGGGTATCTGTCCATATGTCCGGAATTTCTGGACACAGATGGGATTTGTCCGCCAAAAATTGAGTCCAGGCGGAATTTTTTTAAATGTCTGGGGGAAACCCGGGCGTATGGCAGCCCTTATCAGAAGTGTTGTTGCTTTTGCCGATTTTCCTAAAAAATTAGTTAAAACATAGCTCAACAACTTCAGCAACCATAGTATAAGTTAACACAGGGAGCAAATTAACAAGCTCTAAAATGTGCTTCTAAGTGGGCATAATTTTTCTGCTGCTCATATAGGCCAAGAAATCACACTGGAAGCTGTCTTGGTGCCATGCATTTCCTTGGTTTCTGATGCAGTCTATATCTGAAAGGCAAAACCTAGTCTAGACACATACTACAAACATAAGCACACTGAAAGCCACTGAAATCAATGGGGTTAAGTAATCATGTACTTATTTTGACATGTTCCAATCAACGGAAAAATACTTATGTTGCAAGAGGAATTTATAATTATACACTCAGCAGTTTTTCTTCTGCTTTTCTCACCCTCCGCCAGGCTTCAACCTCATTTCCCACAGATCAGCAGCATTGGGCAAAGACTGGTGATAGGAAGCTAGTGTTGGTATATCTCATGAAAGGATTGAGGATGCAATGTGGAGTGGGCAATGTGGAGGACAAAGCAGTTCATGTTACACTATTCCTTGCAGGGCAATTGAAGGGTAAATCTACTACTGGAATCACTGAGCCAAATATATGCTATACTCCTGTGAGGTGCCTTTTTATTACAGGTTAAATAGCATACAAGTTGTGCTTTGCCTTTTCACACGTGTTCAGAATTGTTTATGGATTATAACTAGGATAATTTTGAATCAGGTGGCCAGAAGCAGTCATTTGTAGATGACTGTTGGAAGCAAACCCTAGCTTATTGATATGATATTGTTATCCAGAATCTTAAAAATGTAATGCTTACTTATGACCATCTAAGTATTATTATTTTTTTGAGAATAGATGAAATGAAACAAGATCACCAGGATATCTATTCTATCCCTTATTGTAAAATTCTATATAAAGCAGTTTATAGTTAACACCATTTGGACCAAAGCCTAATGTTAATAATTCTGGCATATTTAATTAAATGATAATGAGAAAGCATTTATCTTAAATTATTTTAACTTCATCACAGAGAGAAACCATCCTCCCACCCTTATTGATTTGCCACAGAATGAAAATCTTGGGCTTGATTTTCAGTGGCAGAGATCCAAATCCCAGTTACACTAGAATACAAAGATTTATGGTAATTTAGGCCACAGTTTAAGTAGGGATGAATGTATAATTATATTTCTGGTCCATTTACATTTTGCTTGAGTTCGTTCATAACTCTGTTCAGCTCTGTTACTGCATTTATCTGCTTTTGAAAAATCTATATAAAAATTGTGCTTAAATTATTATTTTATCACAATATTTAAATATATCACATATTTAAATAGATAATTTATCTCATTGTGTGGCATTTGCAAATATATTTTTATCCTAAAATACACATTTCAAATATATTTTGGTGTTTTTTTAAGCCAAGTGCTGTATCACAAAATATGAAGATATACGAAATCCTTATGATACTTACATTCCAATCCAAATCTTAGTCTGGAAAGTTGATTAGGTCAGTTTGCATAGAAATTTACTGAAATCAATACACTGTTAGGGAGATATCCAACTAAACAGTTCTGCTAAGTCCAAGCACTTTTGGCTGCATAATGGAGCTTCTCCCTTTTCTTTCTCTGCACACCCTAGAAGAACTATTCATAGTCTTAAGCATGCTTCTTTGTAAGTACATTCCACTGAAATATGTGAAACATGTTTCCAAGCAAATGTCTTTAGGGCTAAGGTCCTAATACTGTATTAGAACTGATATTGGCCACAAGCAGGCTTATCCAATGACTTTGAACTGCTTTCCAGACTGTCTTTATGTCTCTTTTTGAAAACATCCGAAGATCTGTGTCATCACACAGGAAGATTGCGCATGATTGGAAGAAGAGGGTTTGAGCTGCTGCAGTGGTGGATCTTGTGCATAAAGTATGAATTTCTAAAGAGTCAGTTATTCATAAGTCATCCATTGAGTTGATTCATGCACCTTGAGCCCTACTGCAAACATAAGCACACTGAAAGCCACTGAAATCAATGGGGTTAAGTAATCTTAAATCTATGTTGGATTGTGGCCCGAACCTTGGCTGGCACCCTCTTCAGTCTTCCATATCATGCTTAACAAATGAGTGCTCCCTAAATACATAAAGGTAGTCTGGCTACCATGGTGAAATTATGCACTGAGAGGATGAATGAAGAGTGCTGTCTCTTGATTAAAAGAAGCAAAGCTTGAGTATTCTGAAGCTCTCCTTTCAGAAGGAGAAAGTTACAGAACTGTCTCTTCAGAAGTTTCAATTAATTTACTGTACCTTGCCTTCCTGGATGGTGACAACGTCGGGCAGCCCTCCAAGCACCCGGGCGCGATCTGAAAATACATTAGCACATTTTTCTTTGTTGTCTGCAAAACAATCTCTGCCCTAGATTTCAATTCCCCTCTAGTGCCTTTCTTTTATCTTGTACTTCTACAAGCTGCCGGTGATGAATGCAAACTGAGAAGGATATTTGGTATTTCCAGCTTGCTTTGCTCGACGTGAAAGCAATGTGAAATTTACTTGGGATGTTGCATGGCTAATATTTGACTGCCAACCCCTGGCTCCATTAATGAAAGATGGACAGGTAGATCTTACAATGCCACAAGCTGAACAAGGGGGGTTCTCATCTGATGTGCCTAAATTTAAAAGCCAGTAAAAGTGCAAGTAAAGGCTCAACAGGGACATGGGTGGTGCTGTGGTCTAAACCACAGAGCCTAGGGCTTGCCGATCAGAAGTTTGGTGGTTCAAATCCCCGCGACGGGGTGAGCTCCCGTTGTTCGGTCCCAGCTCCTGCCAACCTAGCAGTTCAAAAGCACGTCAAAGTGCAAGTAGATAAATAGGTACCACTCCGGCGGGAAGGTAAATGGCGTTTCCGTGTGCTGCTCTGGTTTGCCAGAAGCGGCTTAGTCATGCTGGCCACATGACCCAGAAGCTGTCTGCGGACAAACGCTGGCTCCCTCGGCCTATAGAGTGAGATGAGAGTGTAACCCCAGAGTTGTCCGCGACTGGACCTAACGGTCAGGGGTAACTTTACCTTTAAAGGCTCAACACATCACAGTTCTTGAAGTGCAAGCTGTTATGGTCATTCACCACTGCTGGATTTCTTCACTTTTTGATAAAATGGAGCTTCCATCAGAAGCAGCAGGACCAAGTCTAGTTCTCAGGCTTTTCTTATTGGTCCTATAATAAATCTTAGCCTGTGCTCTCCTGTCCTGAAGTTATGCATTTTCCAAACCCCGCTTACCATCATAGGTAGCTGTCTTATACTGAGGCAGGCCATTAGTTTATCTATCCCAGTAATTTTCTACACTGGCAGTAGTTCTCCAGGGTTTCAGACACGAATCTTTTCCCAGACCTACCTAAAGATGCCAAGGGTTGAACCTGGAACCCGTTTATGGAAACCATGTGCAACAGCCTCCTCTGGTAGCTGCTACTGTCAAGGGTGAGGAAGTGTATAATGCTGCAACATCATGGCCATATTTAAGTTTTATTATGCATTATGAAGGAGAGAGAAATTGACAAGAGTCTGCCACTTTGTGGCTGACATGTGACAACTTAGTGTGTAGCATACAGTAGTTATATCTTTTATTACACAGACGGTGACCATTTTGTGTGCATCCAACTGATGCGTCTGCCAATGTGTGGGTCCTTTTGGACATGGAAGAGGGCAGAATGGAGGCAGAATGGGGAGAGAAACAGGGGTGAAGAGGATATAACAGGGGCTTATGTGTGCTCCGCCAACATGCACGGGGGCCAGGTACGAAACAAAATCGTCATCACCTCTAATTTTGCTGTAAGCTGTGCTGGGAACCCACTAAAGGGCAAAATATAAGTACCATAAATAGATCAATGGCATCAAAGTAGAATTGCATTCAAAGGCATACACATAACAATACTGCTAGAAAAGTACAGTTGTGGGTGACAAACTGTTCCATTTTGTGGCTTGGCTACTTACAATGAATGTTGTTTGATGGGCAATCAAGGCCAGCAAGGAATAAAAATCACCCCCATATGCTACGGTGCAGGCTAAGGGAAGCAGTTCTGCCATTCTTGCACATGGTAGGCAAGAAGCAGTCTCTATAGGGCTGCTAAAGTGGGGCAGTGCGGGTGAGGGGAACACAGATAACTGCTTCATGACTAGCTCACCCTGTCTGAATGCCTGCTAGTGCTCAACCTATAGATTTCTAAACAGAAATACTCTCTTCAAAAGGAAGCTACATTGAAATTTCCTACTGGCAGTACGGCATCCTATTGATAGTCAAGGCAGACACCAGACAGTCCACTTACTTTTCTCTGCAATCGCCAATGCTCTGAAATTGAAAAAGACAAAAAAAGGCATCCTCAGTTTCATTTGATGTCAAAAGTATGGAGACGGAAAGCAGTTACTCTTTATATATTTTACATTACACCCACCCACACATCCACACCATTGAACTAAATCTGTCTGTAAACGATTCAATGTGATGATGCAATTTCTCATAACATATGAGCATAGTTTTAATGATGTTTTTACACATATCATGTAAACACTCATAACAACACAGGACATAGATTTCTCTGTCTCCTAATGCTGAAACTAGTCTTGACCAATGGAAAAAAAAATCACTGAATATTTTTTTTTAATATTAATAAAAGCTGAGCAATGGAATAACTTTCTGTCAAAAATCGGGGGGGGGGGGGACAAGTAAAGTTCCCCAGAATGCCATACCTTCTTCTTCTTTAGGGAAGTCTTAGCTCCCAAGCTGGAGTCCAGGTCCTCAGCTCAACCCAGGACCTTTCCACAGCAACATTTGTCAGCCACCTAAAGGTAAAGGTAAAGGTACCCCTGCCCGTACGGGCCAGTCGTGTCCGACTCTAGGGTTGTGCGCTCATCTCACTCTATAGGCCGGGAGCCAGCGCTGTCCGCAGACACTTCCGGGTCACGTGGCCAGCGTGACAAGCTGCATCTGGTGAGCCAGCGCAGCACACGGAACGCCGTTTACCTTCCCGCTGGTAAGCGGTCCCTATTTATCTACTTGCACCTGGGGGTGCTTTCGAACTGCTAGGTGGGCAGGCGCTGGGACCGAGCAACAGGAGCGCACCCCGCCGCGGGGATTCGAACCGCCAACCTTTCGATCGGCAAGCCCTAGGCGCTGAGGCTTTTACCCACAGCGCCACCCGCGTCCCTTGTCAGCCACCTACCCCCCCCCTTATATCCCCCTGCACTTCTCTCCACCAGAACCTGACTTGCGAGTGGGTATAAAGTCCAGGCTGCTTCCTCCTCTCCTTCCACAGTGGGAAATCCTCTCAAACACCTGGGTTTCTGATGCTCTCTTCCCCCTCCTCCCCCATTGCTCTCTAAGTGGTCATGATGAGTGAGAGTGTGCTAGACAGCCAGATGCCACTGCAAATGTCACTTCTGGTCATGCTTACTTCTACCAATGTTGTGGGTGCCAGCAGTGGCCATCTCTGAGCCCCACACTTTCTAAAACAGAACCCCCATTATCCTATTTAGATTGTATCTTCCATGAATTATACTTACTTTAACCTCTGGAATTCAGCAAAGGCTTCATCAAAGGCTTTAAAAAAAAGAGAGCAGGATTAAGTTAATAGTTTTTATAAATATAATTTGTGTGGTTATTTCTTTTTTGAGTTTTCTTTGAATTTGGTGGTTTGCTGACAGAAAACGAACCATGGTTAGCCTTCTGGAATGGCTATGGATGTGACAAAAAAGAAAAAAGAAAAACCATGGTGGAGCATTATGTGGAAATTGGGACACTGTTGTGTCCTGCCTTTTATTATTTTAACAATTCAAATTATTGTTGACTCTTCCTTGGATTTCTCCTGCTGCTTTAAGTACCTCTGTAAGGAGGGGGGATGTGCAATATTTTTAAAATGAAATATTAACAAACGAAAACTTATCAGCCATAAACGCCACTGCCCAGTATGCTCTTGAGGTACTCCCAATGGGTCACTTACCAGTGAGACTCAGATTGTAGTCTGAAGCTCAAGTTGTGAGGAGCCCGGCAGGCCTACAAGGTCTAACTCAGCCTATTGGGAGTTACATTGAGAATCATATAACCAGAAGAGTAAGAGCCATTGTCACTGCCACTCAGAATAATTTTTCTCAGTTTCTGCATTAAAAAATAGAAGGTATGATAAAGAAAAAGGAATCTATCTACCTTGCCCAGAAAGATCCACTGTCTTCGTGTGTCCAGTTTTGCCATCAAAGAGCTCCAATATATATCTTCCCTTGTCGTTGGGTGTTGGCTCATTGATTTGCAACCAGATTTGCTCCCCAGTAACACCAGTCTTAACTCTTTCTGTATACTTCATTTTAACATCACTGGGAAAAGAAGAACAAGGAAACCAAGTTGAGACACAAGTTTTAGATAAATCCTATTAAAGATAATGGCCTGTCAAAGTAACATTTCTGTGCTAGCTCTATTTTCTTTCAGTAAGAGACAATGCCATATGCTTCAAAGGAGTTTTCCCCCAATATGACTTCAAAGGATTGTCTTCAGTCTACAGCAGCTGTGCCTGTCAAACTTGAACCTCAGCACATATTCCCTTGCAGAAATATCAACGCTACAGCAGGAGTTATGATTAAAGGTTAGCATTTAAACTATCACAGTGGTATTGACTGTGTGCACTTATAACTAACTGTGCGGTGCTAAAAGCTGCTCTACCTAACACAGGCTCTATCCAAGGCTCTCCTGCTTCATGCACCTTCTGGGTACTTTCTAGCCATTCAGAAAGCATCCACTGCTCATGACGTCAGCAATCTCCCTATAAAAGGAAGGCACAGACCAAGTGTAGGGAAGTGTTTTCAGCTGATGGGACAGACACTCCAAACCCTCAATATCTGCTGATCATAAATTTTCAAGTTATCAGGTGATGTTTGCAGTTATTACATAATATATAACTGGTAAGGGAGTTGTGCAAGACCACAAGTTTACTTTCCCAAACCAACAACACAGTAAAAATTAGAAGTAGCAACCATTTGCAAAACTCTCTAAACAAGAACGGTGGTGCAGTTGAAGAAGACCCAATACTAGCATTGCCCCCAAAATTTATTATGTTGTTGATTTTATATCTTTATTAATGTGCTTTATTCTTGTGGGAATGTGTTTTGTTTGTGTGAAGTTTTGCAAATCATTTATATATATATATATAAAAGGTGTTGTAGAAGTCAAATAAATAAAATAAACAAATACATAAACTAGGTGTGACACTTTCTGAGGTAGCAGTCCTAAGAACGCTTACTTGACTGCAAGTCCTATTGAGTTCAGAGGGAGGTATTTTGCTGCATAAACGTGTATAGGGACATGCTGTGTCTGATCTCACCAAGGATCACTTGCTTGGCCTTTGGATCCCTGAGGCTGATCACATATCATCTGCATATCTGAGCCACAGCCACAGCACAGCATGTATACCAAAAAAATTGGTTGCATTAAGCTGATTCAAAGCCAGTGTGGAGTTATGCAGCCCTCTGGATGTGCCCTAAATTTAAATGTGTATAGAATGTTCCTGTTGAATGAGATCTTAATTACTGTACTAGCAAGAGCTCACCCACTTACTTGTGTGACCAGCTCACTCTCAGATCTTCCAAGTAGTAGCTAACAAATGAATATAATCTGATGCCTTCTTCTGTGCTCTGGATTTTCAGTTCTGTTGCAGATAAAGCTGAAAATATAACACATATTTTTGTAGTCTTACAGTCTTTCATGGAGTAGTACAAATGAGTCATTCATCAGGAGAAGGGGGGAATTAAATACTCACCAATCACTTTGCATACTTCCGTCATCAAATCTGCAAAAGCTGTGGAAACAAATCCATAGACTGAGACTAAGTGTTCCCAGATCAGACATGCCTGGTTGTAGCTGAATGCTGCCCTGAAGTTCCCCGGCTAATCTGGAGCATTCCTGCAAGTAGATTCCTGCAGGAAATCTGAGTTGCCTTTTAAAATGTGCTGCAAAGATTCTTAAGGAGTTTGCATGTTTCCTTCATGGTTTTAATGTCATGCTAAACCCCTTTGTTTCTGTTTGGTATTATTGTACTTCAAAAGAACATCTCTTTATAAAAGAGACAGGTTTTGAAACTTGTGCAGTTTATGCCTAACAAAGAAGTCTTCTTTAGGATTCCCCTAACTACAAAATAATTCAAGTGACTGCTTAGGGAAGCATTACTGGTGGCTAGAGGAAGCAATATTTAAGCTGTGACCCAACAGAGTATGGTGACATTGCCTCTTGTATCTTGCAATCCAAGATGTAAATAGGAAGACAGGAAAGTGCCTTATACTAGGCGAGACCATGGATCCATCTAGCTTAGTGTTGTTTATCTGGCAGAGTCTCTAGGGGTTCAGACAGAAGTCTTTCCCAGCCCCACTTGGAGACACCAGGGTCCTTCTGCATGCAAAGGATCACAAAGCTATCGTCCTCCTGGGCATCCTTATGTAGTCCCTGAGGGTATCAAAACAGCTTAGGCTCCCCTTACTTTCCTTCTAGAGACAGAAATCACAATTGCAAAACAGAAAGGGTTCACTAACATGAACTGAATTTAGAAAAGAGCTGGATAAATAAAAATAAAATAAAAAAGGAATTCCTGGTTCCACAAACTGAACATTAAAGATCATCATCACCATCAGAGCTTTATTTCAGCCTGAACTCACCAGAACTCAGTTCTGGCACCTGTCAGGTGGGCACCACTGCCATTATAAAAGAACAAGGGAGCTGTTCATGGTGAGTTCAGGCACCTCTTTTTCTAGAAAACAGCACTGATTACCATAATCTGGTTTTGTACCACCCTTCCTTTCATAGGAGCACAGTCCACTAAGGAACTACACTGAAATAATGGAGGACTGGAATGTGCAATCAGAAAAACTCTTCTGGAATTTTTTAAAAAAACTGTTTTGCTGCTGATTCCTTGTGAAATTAAGGCCACAATCCTACACACAATTACTTAGAAATAAGATTGAATCCACAGGTGCTTATTTCCAAGTAAACAGAAGCAGCAGAATTTTACACGTTATTCTCACCTGTGTCCAGAAGCTTCAATATGCTCTTGTCCTTCCCTCTGTCATCTTTCAATATTACTTCATATATACCAGCATCTTTCTTAGAAAACTGTGAACAATATAAAATCAAGCAGTAGCAACACCTTTTTATCTCTGGAAGCACTGCCCATTTAGGAAATCTGCCACATCTGAAGTGGCAGCATCAAGGGAGAAGGGGGCCACTCACCTCTGTTATCAGCAGAGTACATACGCCATCCTTAAAGTCATGTTCTTCATCAACCATTATCTCTCTTTCATCTTTGTACCAAACAATGTGTGTTTCTTTCTTAATATTGGCTACCTAAAATGAAATAAAAGTATGCTAAAGTAGTTTCCTTTGTATAGAAAACATGCATCAAACAGCCTGCATTGGGTAGCAAACCATGAACAAACCATGCAGAAAGTAGATAAAGATTCTTCAGACCATTTGTTCACTCGGTTCTTGGTCTTGAGGCCAAAAACAAGCATCCTATATCTACTATCCACTATATATTTTGGAAAGTTGTTTGTTCTCTAAGCATTTGGACACCTCTTAAGACATCATAACCAAATTTGTAATGTGATTTCAAAGTACACAGCAATATTTGCGGAGGCAATACAGTGGTACCTTGGTTCTCAAACGGCTTAGTTGTCGAACAAATCGGCTCCCAAACGCCACAAACCCGGAAGTAAGTGTTCCTGTTTGCGAACTTTTTTCGGAATCCAAATGTCCAACGTGGCTTCCGCTTGAGTGCAGGAAGTTCCTGCAGCCAATTGGAAGCTACACCTTGGTTTTTGAATGGATTAAGTTTGAGAACCAAGGTACCACTGTACTGGATCTGTGATAACAACAATTAGGTTTGTGATCAGTGTACAATCCTGGATTCTGTAAATGCACCCAAGAGCCAGCTGACCACTAACAGATCTTGTGTTTGCGACTTGTGCTTCTTCTATCACAAACTACCCAAACCGTAGCTGTTTCTTACCTTGCATTTCAGTAACACATTGCATTCAGGGGTAACTTCCCATCCCAGATACTCAACAAAATGTGGACCTGTTTGAAATGATATGCAAAATAAATCCCCTCAGAAATTATGACACAGGCAGAAGCAAATATTTTTTTCATACTGCTCTCTATTTTTTATATTCTCTAGATTTGTTGTCGTTGCGCTGCAAGAGCTGAGCAGAAACAGCCCCTCAAAATTCCTCCCCCAATTTGTGGAAAGATGAAGTGTGGGGACCATTATACAGAAGTTCTGCAGGAGGAGGAGAAATTCTTGGGGGTGGGGCACACCATTAACTGTGGCATTACAGTTAATACAGCTTCTTTCTCTTCCCCTAAGGATTTGTTGCTGCCGCCGCCACTATAAGTGGCAACTGTGCTGGCACTATGGCCTCCATTTTGTACCCTCCACAATAGGGATAGGAAGATCTGTCAAATTCATTTCTTTCAGTTTCACATTTCCCAATCTTAAATTCTTCTTCTTTTCCATATTTCTGCAGAGAGTTGTTTTTCTTTAAATCCTTATGGAAATTCTTCAGCATTCTAATGTAAATTTCTCCTAATAAATACATTTTTGTATGCAGTTTTGACTAATATTTTCCATGTATTCTTCTAAAATAATAGATTTGGGTATGTTATTTTCACTAATAAGTTCATTTTTATACACATTTCACCTTAATATATGCATTTTTGTAAAAAAAACGGTTGAAGACTGCATCAGAAACTTCAGTGGGAATTTTGAAGGATAGCTGTGTATCAGCTCTCCTATTGTTTCAGAAACTGCAAATTTGAGAGATTTAGCTTTATCCTCCATCCCTTCTTTACAGCTTCCTGGACATGGCAATGTAAAGAGTGAAAGCTGCTAGCAATAAATAAACAAATGGCAAAGCACATTCAGGGGAAATTATGCAAAGTGATCTTCTTTTTTCTAAGGGAGGGGTGTGTGGAACTGCTGACCAGTCTGGTCCCTCCTTCTCCCACACTCCTGTAGGCCAACTTTGACAAACTGATGGAGCTGTCCACCTGCAAGCACCTAACATCATTATGACACCAGGCGAGAACTTGAAAGGGGATTGACGAACACCTTTGAAGGGCTGGCTGTCAGGGCCAATCAGCATTCAAAAGGGATGTCTCTCAGTACTGATCAGCTTATGAGCACTGAGAGCAATCCCTCTTGAAGTCTGTTTGGCAAGTGGTTTGAATGCAAACCACCTGCGAACAGACTTCAAGGGGAAAGTTCTCAGTCATTCAGAGGGATGACTCTTGAAATCTAGTGGGTAAGAAAAAGAAAAATATAATAATTGCCTTTTAAAATGCCCTTTTAAAATTTGCTCATTAAATTTTAGACATACAGAACTGAATTAAATCAGCTAAAATGTTTCAATAGTCTTCTCCTTTTTGTATGATTTCTTACCTTGCTTCCTGAACCACTCTTGCCTCTGGAATTCTGCTTCTTTCTGTAGTTTCTGGAACACTAGACATTTTTAAATAAAGAGATTAAAATATAGCCATCTTTGAGAGACAGAAGATCTGCACACCTAAGCCGGCTGTGACGCACTTGCAGAATCATGAACTGGATGGGTGCAATTGATTTTTAACGGAATGTATATTCCAATGTGGTGGAGCTAATTATGAGTAAATAACTTTTAAAAGCATGACTAGACCATAGAAGGGGATGGGAATGGGATGGTTTTGTTTCAAATTCAAAGGCTGTTTTTATGTCTGTAGAAAAAAAGAAGTGGGCCAATCTTACGTCTATCTTAAAAAAGCAGGATGGCATTCCACATGATCCTGCTCCATTTTGAGCACTGACTGACCAGAATAGGATGAGAGTGATATGATATTGTAAAGTACTTTTTAATTATTATTCACAACAAATGCTGAACTAATCTACTCACAATGTTATTATCACAGCTGACCTGCATAGTCCTCACTACTATTAAAATTTCATATGTGGTAAATAACTGAGCCACACAAATTCTTATAGGTTTTCACTTAAACAAAACAAAAACAGCAGCAATACCTAGCAATAACAATACTGGTTTGAGGTGATAATCATGGAGAAAAGCATGACATTGTAAGTTGCACACTACAGGTGCCAAGTACATGTTAAATAATGATAAGTATGAATTATTATCATTCATAGGGGATGCATTTTGTTTCTGTCAATCCCATTTTTAGTATAAACCCAAATAATTATTTGCAACAGTAAATATATACTTCATGCAGTCACTGACTGGTGATGACAGCATGCTTTGGAAACTCCCTTAAATTTCAACATAGTTTGCTGTATGCCTTCAACAGCTTCTGTTCAAAAAACAAACGTTTCACTGGAAGGGAGGAACTAGTTATGTATTTATTTGGATCCCAGCCTAGAACACTCTTTTCTTAAGGTTTTCTATGGGGTTTTCTATGTAAAATTGTACTCCTGCAACACACGTTCCATATTAATCAGTTGGCAGCACTTCTGTAGTTTCATAATTTACTGTCTGAAACATAACACTCCCCACTGTACAATTAAAACATTAAATGAAGTTTGCAAAAAGTACAATTGGCACACAAGTCTAGTTTCTGATTAAAGAAAATTAACCTTCTACAAATGTATGTTAAACCATACTACCAAATTCTAAAAAGGCATATTAGAAACTCTTACCGTCACCAATGAGAACAAGACTGGACTGATTGGTTGCTTTGCCATCCTGAATTTGAAAGGTATAGGTGCCTTCATCCACATCTTCAAGTCTATCCATAACCATTTCAATCATACCAGAAGTGTTGTCAACCTTCATCTTGTATTTCTTCAAGAGCAAACATAAAAGTGAGCAGAAAAGTCATCTTCCTATCTCCCAAAATAGAATGTTTTCAAAGCCTCCTGGATGATTTCTTAGAAACAACCCCACAATGTTAAAGTACATACAGACATAATGTTAAGTGGTAAGTTTGCAGCTGAATTTTGGGCGCACATATAACCTTCTCTCCCTCTCCCCCCAAAAGTCTATTTTGGGTTTTCACTCAAACCACACCCTGGAGTAGATTTGGGGAGTGTGTGGGGTGCATGCGGGGGAACTTCTGTGGTGTGAGCCTAAATCCTTTTGCTAACAGAAGGAGTGCATTGGATAACACCCTGTTACAGAAGCAGTTGGTTCCAACCACTTACCTCTCCATTAACAATTTCCTTGTCGTTAAATACAAAGTTGACTTTACCATGAGGAGACAATTTCTCAGCCTGCATCCAGAATCGCACCTGTCCCTTCTCCAGAATTTCAACTGCCAATTCAGACTTAAGGGGGACAACTGCAGCAAAGAAATAGAGCCTCAATGGATGTTTTTGGTGTGTTCACAAGAACCGACTTTATCCACTAGTTCTTGGACAAATTTCCTCCATTGTTAATCTCTGGCTTATTCTGTCTTTATATTTTTCTAAATGATGGACGCTTGTAATCCACACAGGTAGATGTTTCAAAGCTTGTGTTATTCATGTAGAATAACATGAACGCAGATAAACAAACTACAATGAATTTTTTTCTATTGTTATCCTTGCAATATTTGCTCTGCATATATTATACTTTCTCTGACATGAAATGCATTTCTCTACACCACTCTTGCTTTCCCCCTGAAACCTCTCTCTCTCTCTCTCTGGCCGTGTACACACTGTAGCTTTAAAGTACATTTCCCCCACACAATGAATTCTGGGCACTGTTGTACTTCTGCATTCTTTCAATGCATGCCAATATGTGCACTAAAACGATACACAAAAGGCTCATACGTGTGGTTGAGGATTTTGCTTTTTGCAGTTACTGACCCTGCCTATGAGCCTACAGGCATACATTATCAATGCGCACAGGTACACTGCAAACACAACCAGGGCAAAGCTTGCCATTGCTCCCCTCTATACATTGATTATGTGCACACAGGATTAAATGAAGTGTTCTGCTGTCATTTCCCCTCATAACAATTTTGCTGCGTTTTCTTTCACAGAGCTTTCCTCGACAATATTTTCCCCTGATAAAAATGTCAGAACCCAGGGTTTATTAGGTGTCCTTATCAATATTCTAGCTATGTATGCAGGTGCCAGTTAGTTATTAGTATCCAATCCCAAGAACAAATGCCAATTGCTCTGTATTTGTTTCTTTCTAATGTTCCATAGCATTGGAAACATTTAAGATATGCTTAATTTCCTTCTGACATGCATCCATTTTAACCTACAAGGTCATCTACTTAATACTCAGCGAAGAAATTATGGCATAAATGAGTACAACCAAGTTTAAAACTTAATAGGTAATATTACGGGGGGGGGGGGCCGGCGGCAAGTTTTTAGTGAGAGACAATAATTTTATTCTGCAGAAGTAGTACCAAGTAAACAGATGAGGTCCCCAAATTTAGATTCTACTTGGCATCATATCTCCGTGGAAACCAGGCAGCAAAAGCTGGGGAATCTGCCATAGCCTGTGACAAAAAAACCCAAGATGCTAGGGATGTAGGACACTGGCAGATCATTATTTCATTTTGTTTGCCCTTCCTTGTGATCCTTTAGACTGGAACACAGACCAGCAAGGCAACTGCATCTTAATTTGTGGCCTGTTTTTGAATAAGTCTAATCCCCAATAAGCAGGGTCCATGAGCCAGAAGGAGAGGTGAGGGAAGCTTCAAGAAACAGGCACTGAAATGCCCCTGTGAAAAAGCTATTTATTATTGCAACACCTGAAGGTGAATATAAGGAGGCAACCTTATGACCTTGCATAACTTCTAAACCCAGATACGTCCCTAATTTAAAGAAGCTGGCCCGGTTTCTGATTTGATCCTGGAATGTCCCACTTTGCCTTAGGATGTCCCTATTTTCATTGGAGAAATGTTTTAGGGTATGTAAACCCAAACAAGTTAATGCCACTTGTGTCTGTGCTTGCATTAACCCGTGGGTGTAAGAAACACACACACCAGAAAACAGACTTTGTGCAATGCTACTTGTGTCATGCTGTCAGTTCTGAGGCAGTTTTAGGCCCTTGTATATAATTAGCTGTGAATATTTTAGCCTAAAATAGAACAGAAAGCAAGCACAGGAGTGGTGCAGCTTGGTAATTTTAGACCCTGGACTCAATAGTCTTAAGGAAGTAGACCTTTAGAGAGTGATGTATTAGTTTAATTGTGCACTACACAACTAACATTTCTATTCTCTCCCTCCCTCCCCCACTGCCTTTCTGTGCTTCAGAAATCTTATATGTAAGAGCAAAACACACACAGCACCCCCCTCCCAAGTTTGCCAATCTGGATTTCAAAAAGTAATACTCTGAGCATGTGCAGCATTCCATTTTAGACTCAAATCACAATACTATAATGACTACAGGAACAAAAAGTGTTACAAATGTGAAAATGACATCCTTAACCTTCGGGGAACAGAACCATGTGTTTGTGAAACTGTGACAGAAAAAGAGTCAAGCAAACATCCTGAGGAAGAGAAAAGTCCCTGCTATGTGTGGACGTTAATCAGGCATCCATTAGAAGTTGATACCTGTAACAGGACCACATCAGACTGTCTCAAGCATTCATATGACCAGTGTCTGTTCTTCTTTAAGGGGTACTCAAGGGTACTCAATACCAGCACATCTTTTTGGTTGTTAAAAAGTGTGGCACTATTCGTAACAACTTCATGGTGAGTACTGGCACCTATTTTTCTAGGAAAAAAGGACTGCATATGACTATCCAGCAGGCTGATGCTTGGAAGCCCTTATTTTAAAATATGCCACAAACATTGATGCCTTTTTCCACTTAACTATTTTGTTGTCACTTACCTGGAAATTTGTGTTCATGGCTGAGTGCAAGCAGGCGTTTCATTTCTGCAAGAGAAAGGCAGATGTATGTAGAAAAGAAGCCATTTGTTTGGCATATTGGCACATTTTACGGTATGATCATTCATTGCCATGTGACATAAGAGGCAAAGGGAAAGGCTGACAGGTGGACGAAAGAATATTGGTGCTCACCTTCCTCATCTAATGTATAGCTTGATGAGACTCCATCTGTGTCTGTTACAGTACAGGAGTAAATGCCCAAATCGTCTTCACTGAGATCTTTAAAGATAGCTTTTGACCTTTAAGACAAAAGAGCTTTGTATAAGCAACCGATACAAGTTAAAATCAAATATCAGAGAACACCCACATACAATATCTGGCAAGTATATGTGTGAGGTACTGTTAGCTCAGGTATTAAGGTGGATTTCATTTATTTTGATAGAATGTTTCAAGCAGTCAGAATTAAGGATGGAAGGATTTCTGAATTTTGGTTCTCTCAATTTCTCATTTTCTCTGTCTTAATTTCAATCTTTCACATTTTGCAGCAGTTTGCTTTTTAGAAAAAATCCTCATCAGCATTTTAGTGCAAATTTCTCCAAACACATTTTTATATGCAATTTCGACTAATTTACACATTTTTGCAAGCAATTTCCCCTAATATGTGCATTTTTTAAAACACTGGTTGGAGAACTGCATTGCAAAATTTGGGTAAGCATGAATTTTGAAGGATTGCGTATTGTGTCAGAGAGTGCAAATCTGATGGATTTTTGCTTTAAATGCAAGCTGATTTGAATTTCTTCTTCATCTTTAGTCAGAGCACAAGCTACTGTGGGCTCATGGGTTAAATCTAAAGTGCTGTAAAATAACACAACTTGAGTGTTGAACCAAAGATCAGAAAAATAACATTCAAGAACCAAACTGTCCAATCTGTGACTGGATTTTCCCACACAATTGTATTTCCTAAATTTAGTCACAGGGATGGAGCAATTTGGACTGGGGCTCCGGCAGAGTGTGAGGGGGTCTAGCCTTTTCTCCTGTTGTGTGCTGCAGTCCAGATATAAATTGCACACATATCTGAACTACTGTTTGCTACAAAGAAGAAAAAAACCAATACAGGCACAATATGCCTATGAGTCACTGAATTCTTTCAATAACATGTATCATTTTGTACTACCAACAGTTTTAGATGGGTCAGACTGGAATCTCATTGTAATAATTTAATCTGCATGTGAAAAGAGCATAAAGAAAACAAGTAACGTGATCCCATAGAAGGAGTCCTTGCATTTCTGAAATTTCTTACTTTCCACCTTTGGTGTCAATGGCTAACCGCGAATCATCATCAATTGGTTCATAATTCTTGGACCAGATGAATTTAGAGTCTGCAGTCATCTGATCACATTCAAAGTTCAGGGAAATTACTCCATTGTCATCTACTTCAACCACAACTTCTTTTGTTCCTAGAAGATCAAAAGAAAGCATTTTAAAAACTGTCATCTATTTTCTTCAGATGCTGAGCATAAGCAGAATATTGCCTTGGGGAGAAATTAACACTTTTATCATATCAGAGAAATAGAGTTCACCAGAAAAAGAGGACCCCTAGCTACAACAGACCCAAGGGATACAGTCTGACTCCCAGGGGTGCCAACTTGAATAAAATATTGGGGGGGGGGGCGAGGTAAGCCCCGCCCCACATAATCGATCACATGACGTAGTGCACACACACCATTTGAAAGGGAATGCCCATCAACTTTGTGGGGGCCTGGCCCCCTCAAATATTTTATTGTGTGAGCCAAAGCCCCCACGGCCCCTAGGAGTTGGCTCCTACGCTGGCTTCGGCTGTCAAGCTAAGATTCAAAAATGGAAGAGGCAAGTGTGGAAACAGTTTTCCACTTGGGGAGGCAGGCTTCAGGCTTCCCAATGCCCACTGTGAAAACAAATGCTGGATGAGATGGGCCTTTGGCCTGATCCAGCATGGTTCCCCCTGACAAGAAATCTAGTCACTGTCTAGGGCTCAAAATAAGATATATCAAAAAACAGAATAGGAGCTAAGAGAGGTGGAAATAATTCAAGGATAGTAAGGATGTGGATAGTATATAAGTAAAGGGGGAAAGTCCTCACTGCCTTGGAATATTGCCCCCCCCCCGGGGGGAACCCACGGTGTCATTTGATAAGCTGGTGAACAGTACTTCAACTGACGCTTCACCAGTTTTAGTTTGTGTACTTCATATAACATTGTGCATTTTATATGCTGCCTAAAAATCTGAAAAAATATTCAGTGGAACAATGATCGTAAATAATCTCTTGCTACCACCATAAAAACCTAGGAACGAGGACACTGAAGATTCAGGGTGAGATTATGATTGTTTCTTCTCTTTCTAGAAGAGGAGAGTACATTTATGTCTACCCCTCAGCTTATCCCCACAATCTCCTCTGGTGTCTTCTTGCTTGTGGATTACATCAAATATGTGATGGGGTGGAGTGAAGTAGACTTGTCTAACTCTTCTGTTATTTGAGAGGAGATGCAGGCACTTAAAGAGGTAATGTAAGGTTCAGCTTCCTTTTCATAACTATAGTGCAGACTGTGTTAGTTGCTAATCATTCTTATATATACAGACATTTTTACTTTGCCCTCAGGGGAACCAATGAAGCATGAACAAACCTGGTCGAGTTTCAGCTATTACAGGGTCAGTGGGATCTGAAGGCTTCCCAACTCCAGCTTGGTTTGCTGCTCGTACACGGAATACATAACTGGTGCCTTCTTTTAGGCCAGTGATCTATTGAAAACAAAATTCAGGAGAGCAGTGAGTGAATATTTTTAGGCTGTGCCTGCAGATTAAGCTGTGAAGACTGGTGTCCACCTGAACTTCAGTGTTACTGTTCACAAGATTTGCTTCACAAAGCACTCAAGATGGAGCAGGGCACCATGAGCCACTGAAATGCTCCCATGTTATTAGAATTCTTAGCGGAGACTAAGTAGCAGACTAGAGTCATTGGATGCTTCTTATCCATAGTTCTGGAGAGGAACAGCTGCATGTAGAGATACAACCAGCTACCCTGTCATCTCAGGTATTTTCCTTAGATCTGAAATGCAATGCCCCGGTAGGCACAGGCATACAGACTGTGCACTGCACTATTCACAAAGATTAAAACAGATTTTAATTGTGGTACAAAAACCAACACCACAAATTTAATAAACTACTATGGAAATGTTTTCTAATAACTACACTAGCTTTTTACATGAGCCTTTAGTTTCTCACCCTTTCGCTTCCCAGTGTAGAAGCTGGTTCTCTTCTTATTTTGTTTCTTAAAGGTAAAGGTACCCCTGCCCGTACGGGCCAGTCTTGACAGACTCTAGGGTTGTGCGCCCATCTCACTTAAGAGGCCGGGGGCCAGCGCTGTCCGGAGACACTTCCGGGTCACGTGGCCAGCATGACAAAGCTGCATCTGGCGAGCCAGCGCAGCACACGGAAACGCCGTTTACCTTCCCGCTAGTAAGCAGTCCCTATTTATCTACTTGCACCCGGGGGTGCTTTCGAACTGCTAGGTTGGCAGGCGCTGGGACCGAGTAACGGGAGCGCACCCTGCCGCGGGGATTCGAACCGCCAACCTTTCAATCGGCAAGCCCTAGGCGCTGAGGCTTTTACCCACAGCGCCACCCACGTCCTATTTTGTTTCTTACTCTGAAGCTATTTCCAACTCATAATGGACTCTATTCATTGACTTGTCTTGAATTTGTTACTTCCTTGATTGCCTATCAGTATGTAGCTCCTCTCTTCTTTGTTTCCTAGATACCACTTTTTAAGGAGTGGTTATAACTTCAACTTGTTCCAGCTGGGTGGGATAACATTGCTTTTGATAACATTGCTTTATTTGTTTGGTTCTCATAGCTTACTTTTTGTGCCATCTTCATTGCTTCATGTGCTAGAACAGCCCCTTTCACACCATTATGGCAAGTCTCTCTTCCTTCTTTAAGGTCTTAGAGCCCTAACCCTTCCACAACACCTTAGCTTCACCCTTAATGCCCGCCCTCCTACTCTTTATGAAAATCTTTCACCTCTCTTCTCTTTTTTCCTGATGCATTGACTAGCTTGGACTTCCATTGGGCAGGCTCTGCTCATTTGTGATGCAAGTAGTAATCTATCAACTCCTGGACAGTCACAGGTTCCCCATCCTCGATGCAGGAAATTATCCAGCCAAACCCAAGCATAGGTTTAAGTCCCTTTTGGGAGCCATTTCACAATATGTGTAATTCTCCCATTGAAACCAATGGGATTTAAAAGTGCTTAGCATTGGTTAGACTTTGCCCATCCTTGGAAAGGAATCAAGACTCTAAATGCAGATAATCCTATGTTTAGGACCAGTTCTGTGAAACTGTATATTCAAATGTTATAGAAATAGAAATCATAAATTTGTGGTAAAACAAGATGACATGGTGTGGTGTATATATTTAAAAGAGCCATCTTGTCATATAGTTTGCAGCACATGTCTGAACAGAATGCTCATGAGCTTGAGTGGCTCATTTGTTCAGCAAATATATGCAACCACTGAACACGTCATCCTATTTCCTTAACACTCTACTTCTATTTCTGATGTAGTGAATCAGATTTCCTCCCAGTGCAACTGCAGTAGATTTTTATGGGTGTGACTGAAGGCAAAACAGTTCCTAAGCAATCTAAAACCACAAGGAATTGCCAGAAAAATGAAATGTGTAACAATTAGGGTTCAGTATCAGTCATCATACAATTATTTGTTCCCTAAACTGGCTTACCTTGAAGAATTTGTTTGCAACAGCTTTCTCGTTCACACTCCTCCAATGTTCCTCTGGTGCATCTGTTTTTTTCATGTCAACATAAAAACCAGTTACAGGACTTCGGCCAATGTAAATTGGTGGTTTCCACAATATAACCAAAGAATCTTTCCTAACTTCACTGCATGACAAATCATGGGGTGGTCCTGAAAGATAAGCAAATGACAGAAGAATACCACTGAGGTCACAATAGTGATTAGCACATAATACAGAAGAAATAATAGCAGCAACAACAACAACCTTTAATCAAATTGTGACCTAAACTTAGCTCATATTAAAGAAGAAAATGATGTCACCATGACTTTCATCTCTCTTTATCCATGCTACATCACCATGAAACAAGAGCATCCCATTTTGAATATTTGTACACTTCAATTTGCTTGGCAAATTTTGGAGAACCAAACAGGTGTTTATATTTAGAAGAGCCCTGTTTGTCATATTAAGGTCATATTAAAGGCTGTCCAGGCTCCTGGTTCAAAATCCAACAGTGGGTGCTCTTACTTTTGAGTAAGGAAAGAATTTTTTTAAGACAGATTAATGATATAGACCCAGCAGCAACAGAAGAGCTATTTCATTTACAGAGCTCACAAGGTTAGCTGAGATGGGCCTAATCTAGGAACAATGGCCAAGGAACTTGAGTTCTGGGTCAGTTACAAGAAGCTCAAGGCTGCAAAAGAGTGAGGTGTTCTAATAAGTTTTCCATGCCCACCAATTCAGCTTTGAAACTGAGGTGGGCATAGCCCTTGAGTGCCTGTTCCTACATCAGCAGCTAGCCTGCAAGCAGGTACATAGTCTATCTGGAAACATCTAATCCCTTCTCCTAAGGTGGCACCTGGTCCTGGGAGAGAGCATCGGACCCAGCTGCTTGGCTACTCTGATCTGCAACCCCAAGCCCTCCCCAAATTCCAACTATCTCTCTTCCAGGGGAGGGAGCTGGAAGTCCTATTTCCATAGGAGGGCCAGATAGGACTGGGAGAAGGAGAGGACTTGTTCTTGTCTTGCCCTTCCATTCATTCTCATCTTCCTCCAGAGCCTGCCATCCTGGGGCTGAACCTGATGGAACCAAGGAAACCATGACAAAGGCCCTGAAGATAGTAGGAGCTATCTTCAAAATCTAACAGCTTTTTAGAAAGTGTTTAGCACTCACAGAAGCATTTTTTCCCCTAACAGCAAGTAGCCTGTTAGGATCACACATAAATTGCTATCCCAGTTGGCATACTGTGTATTTCCTTCTTATCTTGTGGAAAGTTCAGTTTGGCATGTCAGATTGAAGAAGGCTACTCCTACCAACTCTAAAGACCCCTTACTGCTTCTAACCTGGAACAGCAATGGTCCATTCTTCACATTTGAAGGACTTGCTAGCTGGAGAAGGAGGGCCAAGGCCAGCTAGGTTAGCAGCAGCCACTTGAAACTGGTACGTCATATTTTCCTTCAAGTCATGGAGCTACATAATGGATAGGGGGAGAAAAAGTTAATATGGCATGCAACATTTTAGTGAAAAATTCATTAATCTTTAATGTTGCAAATGATACTTCATATTGCCTTCATATATAGATATATCTATACACACACACACGCATACATAGATAGATATAGATAGATAGATGATAGATAGATAGATGATAGATAGATAGATAGATGATAGATAGATGATAGATAGATAGATAGATAGATAGATAGATAGATAGATAGATAGATATAGATCAGGCATAGGCAAACTCGGCCCTCCAAATGTTTTGGGACTACAACTCCCATCATCCCTAGCTAACAGGACCAGTGGTCAGGGATGATGGTAAGTGTAGCCCCAAAACATATGGTGGGCCAAGTTTGCCTATGCTCGATATAGATATATAGACACACATATATAGAGCCATTTTATATGCCTGATTTAGAAATAGTCGTAACTTGCACCTTCAATCTGCATCAGGCTTAAGATCCTACAATGACACAAGTCAAGCAGCTTTCTGATGCTGTCAACCCATGCATTGCTTTTTAATTTTTACCTACAAAAGTATAGACTACACAGAAATAGAGAACATATCCAATACAGTAATTATGTCTAATAACTGCAAACAAAGCTACATTAAGAGAAGAAAATATAACAGAATGAGTGCAATTAAAATAGCATGCAGAGCAAAATAAATCAATCAGATTATAGGTTTGGATCCGAAAATAAATTAACCTAAGGAGTTCATGTAAGGTAAGGTTATTGTCCCCTCTTTCTACCAGCGACCACCTGCACCACCAAAAAGCCTCTCCAAAGTAATAATAATAATAATAATAATAATAATAATAATAATAATAATAATAATTATTATTATTATTATTTATACCCCGCCCATCTGGCTGGGCTTCCCCAGCCACTCTGGGCGGCTTCCAAAAGAATATTAAAATACTATAATACATCAAACATTAAAAGCTTCCTGAAAGTGTTTGGATGTGGGGCTCTTGAATAACATGGGAAGAATGGGCTTGGGGAGCAGGTAATGCCAAAAATCAGGCAGAAGTCTAGTGTCTAGCAGTAATAAAACCAATCTCTTACCCTGTATGCCCTCTCACTAACTGCCTTAATGTTAGCCTCTTTCCACTCTCCAGGTTTTCCACCAATCACTTCCCGGTAATTCACATAATAGCCAGTTATATCAACTCCACCGACAGTTTTCGGCTGTTTCCATCCAAGGACCATTGAGTCATGAACACTTTCAAGCACCGTGATGTCATATGGTGGAGATGGAGGAGCTGTTTTAGAGGGAATAGTTTATAGTTATGACAGAAGTTATAGAAAAGTTATGATAGAAGTTAGTCAAATCAAACATTTGTTTGGATTCAGATCTCTCCCAAACAAAATTCTAGCAGTCCACAGAAACACTTCCTGGATAATGAATACAGGCTTCCGAAATCCATGTTATGCAAGAGAAGAGACCTTTTGGAACTTGCTGTTTAGAAAAAAATGTGACCTAGGGTGAGTGTGACTTCAGCTCTTAAGAAATGATAAGTCTACTTCAAAACAATGAAAATGCGGAATGAAAACTATGATAGAATTGTGCTTTAAAAATGTTTGGAGATGTCAGTGATCTACATTCTTTTGCTAAATTCCTTCCCGCTCCCTTCCAGGTTTAAAAATAAAAAAATGAAACCAACCCTCTTCATGTTTGATGGTATAATTGCACATCTTGGCATACCTACCTTACAGAAAGTATATGCACATCTTAAGACAGCAGACCAACTGAAGGATAACTGAAAATATTTGGAGCAATGCTTTTATATATGGTAAGAAAAAAATGAAGGAAATAACTTTCCAATCGCAACATTCACACGTGGTATCTTCTTCCTGTAACTGCAATGTCATGTTGATATAGACCTTACCTGTCACTGGTCATTATTAATTATGGTCAGATTTCACCTCTTGGGTGTTGTTATGGTGGGAATTCCACCATTCAATTGATTAATCTTTTTTGCAGAAGTTTATCATATCCCAACTTGATTTAATTAGAAAAAGGAACTTACTAAATTTCCAAAGGAATCTTTGCAATCAACTGTGTGGATTTTCACAAGATCTATGGGACAAGCTTTCCTTAAAGCCCATTTGCAAAAGAGAAATAAGAACCAGTAACCAGATGGAGCAAGGATTTTTCAGCAGGTGCCTTGAGGTTATGTGAATTATCTGCTGCTGAGGTCCATCCCTCTGCTTACCTCTGTGACCTTCATTAAACAAAGAGGTTTGTTACTTTCAATTGGATTTAGAGGTTGAATTGAGGTTGTTGTTTTGGCCTTTTGGCTGGATTTCAAATTGTAGTCCTGGAGTGGTGTGTGTGTGTGTGTGTGTGTGTGTGTTGCAAGCTGTAATGAATCTGATGGGATAAGATGAGGAACGTTTTCCAATAAATAAGATTTAATTATGGCTCACTGAATTTACTGTTACCATAACATGTTTGTAGAAACGGTCCGTTACCCAGGTTCAGGTTAAGTTTATCCATATTCAGGTATGTGTGAACTGATGCATTAGCAACCATGCCTCAAAGCAAAGGCTTAAATTAGATGATCACAGGCCTATCTCAAATCTATTATTTTATAATCTACAGTATGCTGTATATAGTATTTTGCTGTTCTGTTTCATAGAATAGAATAGCAGACAGATCTTCACTATCTCCCTGGAGAGTGTAGATTCGCATCTTGCACTTAATTGTAAGCCACCTTCTGCCCATGCAGGTTTAAATGGAATGTGAACATTCTGCTTTCAGGATGTGAAAAACAAGTATGGAGGCTATCTGCTCTGCTGTCCTAGGTACTGCTTATACACTTAGATGCCTTTAGTATTTAACCTGATGGTTTCACGTGGACATTGTTTTTCTCTATTTGGTCAGATCCTGCTCACCCCTCTCTGGTGGTTGCCAAGTCCCCTTTTTCCTTTTTTTAAAATCTTGTTTGTTTCTTTGCCTGTTCTTTCACTGGTTGCCTGCAATTTTGTCTGTGTTTTACTCATGGGTGTGTGTGTCAATTTATTGTATTTTTGTGGGGTTCTGAACTTTTTTATTTTGTGAAATGGGTATTTTGCAGACTTTTAGATTGCCAAATGTGCCTCCAGGCCTCAAAAGACTGGCAAATTCCGATCTACTAGGTAACAAAAATGGTGATGATATACCAAACAATGATTGTGTGTCCAACTTGATCTTCCCTTTTTCACTTCCACTGTACCATGATTTTGCAAAAAATAAATACAAAGTGCTAAGAAAGCATAAATGTCACCAAGCTGATATTGATGTGGCATATGTATTTTTTTTACAATTAATTAGAATAAACCTAAACAACACTAATCAATTAGCAAATGAATGCAACATGCAAGCTCGTTGTTAGATGCAACATACATATGTGCCATAGCTCTAATTGCCAGTATACATAATGATCTTTGATAGAGAGCAGAGCATTTATTAGATGGAGATGGTGGAAAATGTAGCATTGGCAAGGATGAGTTTTCGGAGCTTGGATGATCACAGATGATTAAGTGTCGGAAATGAAGGCGCTAAATGATGAAAGCACCGCATATGACCAACGCTCACCTATATCACCTTTCTTTTTCATTCTCTGCAGTGCTGAGCGGTCCTCAGGACGAGACTTACTTGCCTGCTTGGTAGCTGCTTTTTGTGGTGAAGGAGATGGAACTTTTTCACTCACTTTATTGTCTGTCGGACTCCTCTGCTTACCAGAGCTATCGGGCACTGTTTGCCTGTTAGGTTTAGCATTGCGTTTTAACAAAGCATCTGTGTCAAAGATAGGCTGGGAGGACTCATGCATGCCTTCCCAGTTGGCAGTGTGGTCTGTTAGTCCATCAGCTTTACCACTTAGTCCAGGACATACATCATGAAGCAATCCTCCCCCTAAAATTGCCAGAAAACAACAAAGACATTTGAAATTAGAGTCCATTCATTCCCAGTTCTCCATTATTCAAATGAATGAAGAAATGGACACAAAGCATGACAGAGACAGGACATTCAAAAGATACACTCACAGACAATACACTGTATGGTTTGATTTATATGAAATTGTCATCAGCATATAATACCATACACCTCAGCAGTTAATACTTGCATGCTGTTAAGATTCTTCTGAATGTTAGACTGAACAATGTCCATTATATTGAAAGTACTACATTAATGCTCAACTATTTGGAGGGATATATGATCTGTTAAAGAAACCTCAGAAGCATGTTACACAGATGATCTCTGAAGTTGCAAAGTTCTTCAATTAATAGGATTATTAATGCACGGATCATTCCAAATATCTCAACAGTAAAATACAATGTAAATAAGAAGATTTTGGAACATGAAGACATAAAAATCATTGTTTTATTGGAATCAAGCAATGAAGCAAATTAGGCATGGAAATTAACAAGCATACTTTTGCAAGCTAGGGCATGTTAGAGGTGAAATATATACCACTGCATGGAATCAGACTGCCAGGTCATTTGAGAGAATGATGTGAGGTGAACTTATTTTCTATACAGAGTTACAGGGAACACACCCAAGGAAGTCTGGGATGGTGAAGGTGAGAAGTCTACAAGTGCATGGTGACTGGATGATGACTGTGAAACGATGAAAGTGAAATACAAAATATTACCAATGCATAATCAATGTGCACAAACAGTACTGCAAATAAATATTATTAGTTAATTGCACCCCTTTCTTTAATACTCGTAATGCTGTTTTCCACTTCTGGTATAGGAACGAGAGGTCACTTACCAATAGCTGCCTTGACTTCAATGGCTTCTGACTCCTGCGAATACTCACTGAGTCCTGCTGCATTAATAGCTCTGACACGGAAAGTGTAGTGATCCCCAGTAGTAAGTCCATGGCAAGTAAATCTAAAGTAAAACACCACAAATGACTGCGCCATCAGATTTCAGATTTTGCAAACAATTGAGCCCTTCTATGAAATGCTGCATTTGGACCTCACTCTTTAAAAGTTCCAAGAACCCAAGGTATGGACTATGAAAGATATCTCAGAGGGGGTAGCACTGTATTACTGCATTCTGGTGCAGTTTTCATAAGCAAGCATTTCGGCAGGACTATGTATTTAGAAACACAATTAAGGGAGGGCAGGAAAAACAATCCCAGCTTGTGTTTCAGATTACTTGCAATTATTCCTTGTATTTATTCCTTTATTTTTTGCTAACTCAATGCTTCTACCTACTGCAAGGGAAATATTCTAAACATGAAATGGGCCTATGCATTATGTATACCAAGGACACAGATCCTGTTACTGTAAACTGTGTTTGGATAACATTGCTATTGTTATTATGAGGTGTGTTTTTTTAAGAAGCAGGGGAAATGCTCTTAAAATAGACTCCCTTTTGGCAATCCCATCTTCAATACAGCCTTACAGAGATTGTTGTCCCTGCAAAAGTGAAATCACAAATGGTGTCCCTGTATATTCTTCTCTAAAAATAAAACATATTTCTCTGGATGAGATATTATAACAACTATTGGGCAAAATCCAAGAGTGTCCGTCCTTCAGCAGATGTCCTCTTTTGCAACAATAGCCTTATTATAATTATTCACTTTGTGCCAGCAAATAAGTGATTAGAATTGGAAATGCCAGTTGCTGCAGAAGCATAATATCACAAACCACAACGTTATTCCAAACACATTAATTTGAAGTTGAGGAAAGGAATTCTTTAACTTTGAAGTATTTTTAAAAACTTGGCAAGCTGTCTTTTAGCACATAAAAAAGTTCAAGCTTCCCATCCAACCATTAATCTACTTACCTTGTGCCTTTCACAGGATTATTGTTGCATGGTTCCCAGTGACCAGATCCGACTTTGCTTGCTTCTACGTAATATCCAATCAACTCTTTTGCATCTTTGGATTCTGTCCAAGTGACAACTACTGAGGTGTCTGTATTTCTGACAGGTACAAGATGGCTAGGAGGACTAGGAATATCTAGAGACAAAGTAGAAAAGTACCAGAACAAGTTAGTGGTCACCATTGCTGACATTAATACACCAGATACCTACGTTTCTGTTACTTGTGCTAAATGTAATGCTGAAATCTATCAAGTGGCTAATAATTAGAGGAAAATGTGAGCAGATCACATCTTTTGTGTACAGGTACCTCGATTCTTATGCTTATTTTAATTACATGATAGCAGCTTTGCATGGGTGTGTGCATGAATAAATAAATAAATAGTGAAGGAAATCCACCATCCATTTATTTATTTCCCCCCAACCCCATACACCAATCTGCAGGCTTATCTGTTGGCTTTGGAAAGGCGGTGCGAGGGCTCTGGTAGGGTCCTAGAGCCCTCCTTCTACCTTCCCAAAGCAGGGGAAACACTTACTGTGCTTAAAGAAGGAGAAAGGAGGGCTACAGGACCCTGCCAAAGTTGGGCAAGCAACCCTCCACCTTGACTGCGTTAGGAGAGATACTGCGGTGAAACAGCATTGATCACAAAGCGTGGGTTGAACTGAAGGCAATGTGAAAAAATGGAAACACATATAAAAGCCAACACACTCCCATTCAAGGGAGAAAAAGAAACAAGTTCATAAAAATACTGAGGCATCTAAAGTTGATCCACAGTGGCCTGCCCTGTACACTTACCAAGTTTGTCACGAACCACGGTGGCTTCAGTGGCTTCTGAGGGCTCACCAATTCCAGCTGAATTACAGCAACGGACACGGAACTGGTAGGACTTCCCTTCCGCTAAGTCAAAAAGTGCAAAGCGAGGGGACTTGACAGGTATCTCTGTGTTCACTCTCTGCCAGTTTTCGGTTCCTGCAACACACTGAAATGGGAAGTTCAGAATTGGACAAAATCAGTATCTTACAAGAAACTTTGCAGCTGTCCAGCAGAAAGTAACAAATTATTCACATTCTTACAGGGATTCATTGTGCTTCATCATTGAGTTGGAACACACTTTTCATGGTGGGAGACTTGCAGCTAATGGAAAGCAGATTTGCCAGCTGCAGCAGAAATGATCAGATGCTTTGTGGATAATATTCTCATACCCAACTTTGTCTTAGAGACTAACTATAACCTATTTTGAGGCAATAAAGCATGTGCATTGGTGGATAATTTTTTTTTACATTTGGCTGAAGATGAGCAGTGGAATTACACCACAGTAATTTTGTTTGGGGGAAAAAAGATGTAAAACAAAAACAAAAAAACCCCACTGGCTTCCATCCTAGAAACAAATCTTCTGTGAGCAGATCAAGGAAAGCTCGGCAATCTTCAGAAGTGGGTTTGGGGGACAGTAGGAGACAGAAAGGTCGGCGGTTCGAATCCCCGCAGCGGGGTGCGCTCCCGTTGTTCGGTCCCAGCGCCTGCCAACCTAGCAGTTCGAAAGCACCTCCGGGTGCAAGTAGATAAATAGGGACCGCTTACCAGCGGGAAGGTAAACAGCGTTTCCGTGTGCGGCTCTGGCTTGCCAGAGCAGCAATGTCACGCTGGCCACGTGACCCGGAAGTGTCTCTGGACAGCGCTGGCCCCCGGCCTCTAGAGTGAGATGGGCGCACAACCCTAGAGTCTATCAAGACTGGCCCGTATGGGCAGGGGTACCTTTACCTTTAGGAGACAGTGGGAAACTCCACTGCTGCATGCTTCCTTCTGGGCGCAGTTCTCAGGATCCAACTCATTAAGCATTAGAAAATACATCTCAGGGGCGGGGTTTAAAAGTCAGTGAGGCGTCATGGTTAGAGTGTCTGACGAGTGACCTGGGAGACCAGGGTTTGAATCCCCACTCAGCCATGAGGCTCACGGAGTGACCTTGGGCCAGTCACCATCTCTTAGCTTAACCTACCTCACAGGGTTGTTGTGAGGATGAAACCAGGAGGACGAGAACCACGCATCCCACCTTAAAATCATTGGAAGATCAAAGGTGGTATATAAATGTAATAAATAAATAAAAACTTGGATAACAAGTTTTTAATCCTGGTATGACTTCTGAGTTAGGCTCCCCGTCTTTAGGAGAGGTTTGGGGTGGGAATCACCATCAGCCCCAGAGGTCCTTACTAACTTGGACACACCAGTGCAAGAGGAGCCCATTATGCCAGTGCTACTTCATTCTGTGGAGCTGGAGTTGCCATCCTCGGACAGCAAGGACTCCAGTGCAGAAGCCTTAGTGGAGCTATGGCCTCTCCAAAACTGTGTTGAAGCCAATGACTCTTAAAGCAGGCTAGGTAAAGGTAAAGGGACCCCTGACCATCAGGTCCAGTCGTGGCTGACTCTGGGGTTGCGTTGCTCATCTCGCTTTATTGGCCAAGGGAGCCGGCGTACAGCTTCCGGGTCATGTGGCCAGCAGGACTAAGCCACTTCTGGCAAACCAGAGCAGCGCACAAAAACCCCATTTACCTTCCTGCCAGAGCGGTACCTATTTATCTACTTACACTTTAACATGCTTTCGAACTGCTAGGTTGGCAGGAGCAGGGACCGAGCAACGGGAGCTCACCCCGTCATGGGGATTTGAACCGCTGACCTTCTGATCGGCAAGTCCTAGGCTCTGTGGTTTAACCCACAGCGCTACCCGACCCCTTTAAAGCAGGCTAGGTCCCCTTAAATAAGGCTGCCGTACGTCCAGATTTTCCCGGACATTACTGGGATTTCAAAGGTGGAATTGATGTCCGGGGGGGGGGGGGAGGATTTCTGAAAGGCGGCGCTTTGTCCTGGATCTTAGGCAAGAAAATAAAAAACGTAAATGTAAAAAAAAAAGCTCAACTTTTGGTGTCTTGGTTTTTACTTTTTGAAATGTGGCAACCCTACCTTAAAAGAAGCTCTTCTCACTGAAGGCAGAGCTAGAGTCCCACAGTTCCTATTTAAGGCCCAGCCTAAGGTTGAATTGTGTTGGGACAACATTTGAGCTCTGTTCTTATAAAGCCACCAGCCACAGAGAGCAAAACCTAGACGCTGCTCTGCTGCGCCTTGCTGAGCTGTTGTCTTCAGTGTGTCCCCACTGGAGCCAGAATCCTCAAATCTAAGGCCATTGCTTGGAACAGAACATACCCGTTCCCAACTATGCTACTAATCAGTTTGTGTGAGCACAGACGGCTGCTCTTATTTTTAGACAGGATTCTAGTTAAGACTGAATCTATTTCTATACTGCATTAAGAAAAGGAGTTCATGACAAAAGGACTTGACCTACTTGTGAGCTTCCCACAGGGATTTGGTTGGCTAACAGAATGTTAAACTAGACGAGCCTTTGGCTTGAACCAGCAGGTCTCTTCTCATGTTCTTATGAGGAAAAGAAATGGCAAACCCTTCTCAAAAATATGTTTCTGCTACCTATTCAATATTTTCCTTTCAGTTTGATTCTCTCCCCCCCCCCCTGCCCCCAATCTTAACACTGGTTGGATATTTTTGCCTTTGATGTGGAGTGGAAAAAATCAAAAAAAGAAAAACGTACCAGCCTGCTGTTCTTCGTCTGAGGATAAAATGTGGCTTGTGGGGAAATGAATGAGAAAACTATGCTCTGGCACTGTAGTTTTACCTTTTCAACGAAGTACATGACACCCTCATGGCCCCGCTCAAATGGAGGTTTCCAACCGAGCACAATATAGTTCTTTGTGGCTTCTGTAACATGAAGGTCTAAAGGTGGTCCAGGAACAATGCCCTCTGTATAAAAGAGTGAAGAAAGAAAGGCCTTTATATATTTAATGCCATAAATTGAAACTACCACAGAGGAGCAGAGCAGGCAGTCTGCAAAACTATTGATGCAGCTCGTTTCTGTGAGATCAAGCAATTTGAGGCCAGAGATTTAGACACTTTATTTCTCTCAAGAATATAGATTTAAAAGGAATTTTCAACCCAACACAATTTCCACAGATGTGCTTTGTTCATATAGGTGGGCACAATTTGTTGCAAAATTCAATATTCCTCATTATTTTAAATTTCGGGGGAATTATCAGCTGCCTCACAGAATTAGTTTGTAGGAAAGTTTTCTTGAGGGAAGTCGTGGCAAAAAAAAGATTGCAACCAGTTTAAAATCTGCAATCCAGACATGTTCTAAAAGCTAAATAGAATTCAGATCATCCTCCTTTCAGAGGAACTTTTGCTCACCTGTAGGTTCCTCCTCAGTGACAATAATCTGTCCAGTCCAAGGGGCAGAGGGATGACCTGAAACAAAGTCAGAGCTTAGGCAGACATGGGTATATGTGGGAAAGCACTGCATCTTACTAACGCAATTGCTTTTTAAACAAGGGTTCCTAACTATGACAGCACCATTTCATTAAGTAAGAGAATGTATTAATCATTTCTAGTTGCTGGCAGAGAGCCTGCCTCAAACACAGTGCATCAACATTCTGGCTACAGTGGTTACTGAACTAAGTTGAAGCTTTGTAGCTGTAGATCTGGAAACAAACTAATTCAATATATGTTTGAACCAGGCTTAAATATATTCCTATAGTATGAAGAATCGATCCTCTCCAATGCAACATGTTTGAAAAGAGAGCTTAAAAAGTCACACAACTATATATAGCAGGTATTCCTTGGTATCTTGAAACGCATGAGAACTGAAAGAGAATACTTCAACACCATCCCAGCCATGGCCAGCCAAAAATGTTGAAGTGGGTGCATTTTAGATTAGAGCTGTGGTGTGGGATGAACCCTTGGCAGCATAAAGAATTATTCAGATAAACTTCAGTATGTATCGAGGTTAAAAAGCTTCCTTTGACTATGAAGGCAAGATACCGACAAGTCTATCTGAAGCAAGAACATTTAAAGGACTGGATAAAAACATTATGCATGTTAGAACATAGGGCTGCCATTCAAAATGTGGCCTCTGTTGTGGTAAAATTATCTACCACAGCTTGTTTCTGGAGAGTGTGTTCCAGGGCTGGTCCTGATGCTGAGTATATCAGATAGATAAGTGGGGATGCGAAAGAAATGCTGGGAGAAATATGGAAGAGTTTGGTCTTGGCAAATCCTAATTTGCATGATGCAGAGTTTGCTTTACTCTTGCTCCCTCTAGTGGAAGGACTCTTTGGTCACAACCTCCACAAATTCAAAATTTTCAACCTCTTGATGGGATTCGTTATTAGGAAGACTCTTACTTCTAAGTCTGGCCCTATCAGCAGGATCCAGGGCTGCTACAGGCTCTGAAATCCGGGATGGAATGCTCACGCCAGCATTATTCACAGCTCGGACTCGGAATATGTAGGAGCGCCCTTCTATTAAACCTGTGACTGGGAAGCGAGCAAACTTCACTGGTGTCTCATTGCACTGGGCCCAGTGGGTAGTGCCAACTTCACATCTGAAAAACAAAAACAGAACTGTTTTCAATGACAAAGAGAAGTTACAAAGCTATTCCAGAATCTCTCCAAATACTTGCTCATGTAATGCTGGCTTGAAATATATATATATATATATATATATATATATATATATGCTTTCGTAGATTTTCACGGGTACAGGAATGCAGGTTTTGGTGTCCTCGGGTGTCTTCCCGTGTAAAAGTTGGGGTGTCTAGGCGACGTTTCGACGAGGTCTCACTCGTCATCTTCAGGCTGGCGCTTTCGGCTTCTTGTTACTGGAACAGAGCAGGTATCTGGAAATTAGCCCTCCCCACAAAAACCGACACCAGATCCAGAGGCACACAGAACGCCATCACCAATCAACCACACCAGACCCAAACCCAGACCCTCTCCACAGATAAATTACAGACACCATCCAGTAGCCAAACCATGGTGGCACCTCCGGATGCTGCACCCCCCTGCAATCCCTACACAGATCTGGCTGGCACAGGACACAAAACCACAGCTCGCCCCTATACACGAAGCCAAGCCAGAGCACAACTAAGTGCAGTACAGCCATCTTCTCAGAAAAACTCTTCACAAAGCTCAAGAGGTCAAGACACGAAGGCTTTAGCAACTAATCCACACCTAATGACCCACCTAAGTGGTACTCAGAATATCACTCAAGAAATCACTCAAGATATCCCTCAAGTAATTAAGGAACAAAAGAAGAAAAAGCACACTAACCTGGGAACTTCCTCTCTACCCAGAACATTGGAGGCTATACACCACACCCCCTCAACAGTATTTATAGGAACTCAAACACTGAGATCCTGCTCTGTTCCAGTAACAAGAAGCCGAAAGCGCCAGCCTGAAGATGACGAGTGAGACCTCGTCGAAACGTCGCCTAGACACCCCAACTTTTACACGGGAAGACACCCGAGGACACCAAAACCTGCATATATATATATATATATATATATATGCGCTCTTGGGTGGGTGGCGGGGGGGAATATAGAAATAAACTGGAACTCAATTACTTTGTGTGGATGCTGACATTTCACTCTCCTTGCAGCCTTTTCAGGAAGTAAAAAGAAAAGAGCAAACATTTCCTTAAAACAACACCGTCAGCTAAGAACACCCAAATGCACACTAAACCTGGGGAGGGGGTTCCATTGTCCCAGGTGCTGTTTGGTCTCTCTTTCCTCTTGATCAGGGGTAATGTCAGTTCACTTACTGAGTCACCCCAGTCTTTCCCTGTAGACAAATGTGTATCAAAATGTCAGGTGTGCATAGCAAACTGTATTGCATGATGTGGCCTTTATTCCCTCAGATGACCCAAGTAGAATTTTAATCCCAAAGGATTATAAATACAGCGGTACCTCGGAAGTCGAACAGAATCCGTTCCAGAAGTCCGTTTGACTTCCAAAATGTTCAGAAACCAAGGCACAGCTTCTGATTGGCTGCAGGAAGCTCCTGCAGCCAACTGGAAGCTGTGTCAGCCGTGTCGGACATTTGGGTTCCAAAGAATGTTCACAAACTGGAACACTCACTTCCAGGTTTGCGGTGTTCGGGAGCCAAAACTTTTGAGTCGCAAGGTGTTCGTCACCCTGAACACCTTCTTCTCCACATGTTCACAATGCATTGAGGAAAAAGGAAGACACTGCCATGGGCACTAGCCTAGGTTTCTGCACGTATAGACAAAGTTCTGAGAAGAGGCACCTATCTAGATATAGCTCATCGTGCATTCAGACATTCAGGTGTACATGAAGAAGTCAGGGATAGCACCAGCAGGGCACATGAGATATGGCAACATCATGGTGATCCACATTCCATACAGCAAATAGATGGAGGAAGAAGGTATGGAAAGGGGCTATGGTTAGATATGAAGTAATTCATTTGCACTGTTTACTAACATGTCTCAGCAGCATTTGCTAACCCACATTCTTGACCGTATTAACTTGCCTCCATAAGAAAAAGGAGACATAAAATAGCAAATTAATAATGCAGAAGGTGCATTGATCTTTTCCAAAAGCAAGAGATCTTTATGGTCCCAGAGATCAGAAGTAATTTCATTCTGGCACAAATACTGACTTATCTATGAAGTATCCCAAGATGGGACTTCCTCCATCAACAGCTGGTTGTTTCCAGGAGATGATGACATAATCCTTGTTAGCATCCAAACACTTCACATCCAGAGGAGAACCAGGAGCTCCTGGTATGTCGGCATCAGCATCTATATAGATGAAGGCATGCATTTTTAAAATAACAATTGAAAGCTATTGTTCAAAGGCACAATGTGTCTCTGCTTGCATCAGAAGTGGAAGTTTTGGAGCACAGTTCCAAATCTTCACTTTAGGTCTGTGATGGAGGTTAGGCTGATTTAGATGATGGGGATTCACCTAACAAGTCTTGACAGTGAAATCCCTGTGCAACATCCTCAACTTGCACAATGGGGATTTCCCCCCTTTCCTCTCCTCATAGCCCCAAAATTGACTGGGCAGGTGAGAGAACCCCCAGAACAACATGCAAGGAAAGGGGGTATAATTCCATCTTGCAAGCTGAAATGCTTGTGCTTATGAAATGTTTGACATAGTGTGACACTGAATTTCTCCCATAATGACCCAGTGACTGACTTGACATTTGGACCTGGTTCCATGATTCTAGCCTGGTACTCTAACCGCTCACTGGCTTTCACATGTTCCTTTTAATTATTTTAAATTAGACCCTGGATTGTATCCCCTTTCCTTTTAGAAAATGAATCACAGAATTTTGTAATTGCAAGGTCTATTACAAGCTTATTCGGAGGATTATTCTACGGTGTAATGAGCTATATGTGTAGCGACACTTATCTAGAATTTTAGAAGCCAAACATAGTAGGAGACAAAATTGTTTTCAGAACTTCATTCTCATTTGCAGCATAATACACATTTTATGAAACTCTCTGCAGTGACGGACTTTGGGCTCTTAAATTTCTGCGGCACCCTATGTGACGCTAAAATCCAGTGCCTTCCCACCTCTCTCCCTCCATTCTACAGCCTTGTTGTGGAGCCTCCTGCAGCACAGCTGAACTGGTTGCAGTACCTTAAAACCACCTCTGCTCTGTGGCCTTTTACAAGCTTGTAAAAGGGGAGAATTCCACTACCTTTCCAAGAATTATGTAGGAAGAGAATTCAGTTATTTCAATACACCCCCCCCCCCGCAACTACTATGGACATTTCTCTATTTCCAGTAAAAATGGATTTGTAAACAACCCCACATCCTACACTTACCTGGGAACAAGTCCCACTGGAAGCCTATAGGGCTTAATTCTAAGAAGATGTACATAGCAGTGGACTCCAAATCAATTTTGATTGATGAGGAAACTCAAAAGTGCCCACTGGAAGTTAAACTTTCCAGGGTGCTCTGGGATCACATTGCTTATTAATGTGAAAGGAAAACATTTTAAAGATCTAGCATAGTCCTTACATGAAATGAATAGCCGCTTGCCAGCATAAATATTTTAGCTGATTCAGCAGCTCCACTTTTTTTTGTGAACTCCCCAATGACCACAGCCCCTAGAGACTTCCTATAATTTGTTACCAAGTACAGTTTGCTCATGTTCTGTAAGAGGGCTGTTAGCCGCATTTCCCTAGGTTCTGCTGAACAGGGCAAACTGGCGCCATTCTGGGCTTGGCCATAGAGCCAAGAATTTGAAGAGCCTCCAGGGTCCGCATTGCTCTCTTCAGCTGCCTTCAGCAGCTGAGACTGATATAGAGTCACTGCATGAACCAGTGAAATGTGATCACACAAACACTTGTTCATGAGGCATTCATTCAAGCACTCGTTAAAGGGACACTCCCTCCAGGAGAAACTGTATTCATTGTGCAAAAGTTTAACACAAACCAAATCAAATGAATTAAAAGGTAGCACGCAGTGAATGTTCACTCAGAAGTAAGCCCCACTTCTTAAATCCTTTAAACAGGCCTTGATCCCAAGTCTGTGCGCATAGGAATACGGCCACAATTTAAAATGTTGATTTAAAACAAATTCTGCAGTTTGCCTGTGTAATAAATAATTCCACATAGACTCTGGTGTACCCGATCCCATCATGGGTACCGCCTGTCAAAGAACACAGCCATATGTTTGTCTCAGCATGACAATAATGCAGTGGTGCAAGGGGAAATATGTGAGTGGAACAGGTGCTATCCTTTCCCCTCTCACTACTTTGCCCTAAGCTGTTCACTGTTTTACCATTTTAAGCCAGTACTGTACAGCCATCCCTCATTACAGGGATACAGGGGCGGAAGGGCTGTACCCCTTAAATGCACAGGAGATTTTCCATGTTGAAGCCCAAGACTCTGGGCCAATCTAGAAAATTGTTACTGATATTTCTATTTTTAGTAAAAAGTAGCCGCAGCCTCAAACCTGTATGTTTTCATCTGCCAAGCAAACAAAACGTTTGGGTGGAAAACAATAAATCAATAAAAATGAAACAGGGGAAGGTTTAACATCCCCCACTCCTCTCTGTTTCAGTACTCTTTTTCTGTTCAAATTTGGAGGGCTCCCCCTGAGCAGTTTTAACTGAAAGCAATGGGAGTTCCAATCATGGGTCTCCTATGGCTCATGCAGTTTGGCCCTAGAACTGGAACATTGAAGTGTCTTCCGCTAAACTCTCACACTAGCCCCCCCTGCGCTCTCATCTAAAACTACTGCTGCAGTTCAGGGATCAAGCAAACACTGCAAGGATCTTAAAAGAACAATTCCATAGCCCCCTTTTCTTTTTCCTGGCAAATATACTCTGTTCCCTTTACCCGCCCAATTACAATTTCTCTTTTCCCCCCTTTTTGGCAAGGCAAACTGAATAGGGAGTTAAATTTTGCTTTAAATTCTGCCAGCTGAGTCAAGAGCTGCACTGAATTTCTAGAATGCTTGTCCTTTGCACCTTTATTTATAAACAAAGGAAAGTGAACTCATGTACCAAATGCCAGCTTTTGACCTCTGTGCTGCAATTTCCCTCCATTCCACTGCTCAAATACCTTTTTATTTTAAAACCCGACATGTTTTCACCCCACAGAAATAAAACAAAGTTCTTTTCCAAGAGCTAATGAGAGAGCAAGCTCATGTGGTGAGCAATATAACTCTTCTGAGACAGCCCTGAGAGCTTCTAATACTGTCTGTTTTATTTAACTTTTTACATGGACTCCTAGAACTTACCACATAATTCTGATTTATGCCGAGGATTCTTAATTACATGAAGGTATTCTGTTTATGCATGTCATTACATGCTCTCTATCACTACTACCACCAGCACCATGAACACACTTTGCCATCACTACAACTTACCTCGAACAAAAACATAAGCACTGTACTGATCATAATAGTCCCCCATCACCACACGGAGGGTGTAAAGGCCTTCATCCTCTTTGTTGGCATGAGTCAGGGTCAACGTAGCTCTTTCTCCACTCCAATGCGTCTGGACCCATTTGGACGGAGAAATTAGGACTCCTACAAGTTGAAAAAGATGAAACAACAGAATCTATTGGGTTGTGGCGCTCATCTCCCTTCAGGCAGAGGGAGCTGGCGTTTCTCCACAGACAGCTTTCTGGGTCACGTGGACAGCATGACTAAATTGCTTCTGGTGCAACGGAACACTGTGATGGAAGCCAGAGCGCACGGAAACACCATTTACTTTCCCGCTGCAGTGGTACCTATTTATCTACTTGCACAGGTGTGCTTTTGAACTGCTAGGTTGGCAAAGGCTGGGACAGAGTAACGGGAGCTCACTCTGTCATGTGGATTCGAACTGCCGACTTTCTGATCGGCAAGCCCAAGAGGCTCAGTGGTTTAGATCACAGTGCCACCTGTGTCCCCAAACTGATGGTAGTGTTGTGGAGTCAGAGTCAGCGGCACCGTCTGTGATATAATGAGTACTCTGAGTGTAGGATTCCACTATATCTCTTTTTTTAGTTTCTTTCATGGGATGCTTCCCATCCTTACCCTACAAAGCAGGGCCACAAAAACCTCCTGTGCAAGCATAGCCTAAGTGAAATAACAAACACGTTTCATCTTGCCATGCATACTTACCATTCCTATACCACTGGATTTCCGGCTGGAACCGTTTAATGTCGGGGTGAATGATAACTGAGCAGCCCAGACTCATTGTTTCACCTTCTCTTCCAAAGGAAACCTCAAATGTATCTATAAAGTGGATCTCAAACTTGGAGGCATAGCCATGTGGAGTAACACCAACTGTGAGGAGGAGGAGGAGGAGGAGGAGGAGAAGAAGAAGAAGAAGAAATGTGCTTATTCTCCAGCCAAAGAGGATCGTAGCACAAAGCAGAAAGTGCAGCCTCTAATCAACACTGCCAGAACAACCATACCTGAACTTTGTGAATACTTCTTTGATTCCATCGAACAAACACTACTGAACTGCCCAAAAGCATCGAAACAAGGTAGAACTACATCAAAGAGGCAACCTACAACACAACTATGTCCTCTTTCGGCAAAAGAGAGCAGCAGCTCTCCGAATGGTTTGAGGCCATATTAAGGACATGAAACCTGTTGCTTCTGTAAAGCGTGAGGCTCTTGTGAACTACGAGCAGGCGCCCTGCTGCACTAAGAAAGGCAAGGAGTGTTGCCCAGCAGATTGCCAGACAATGTGCCAATGACTACTGGCTGAAGCTGTGTCAGAGCATTCAACTCAAAACTCGCAACATGTACAAAGGCATGAAGACAGCCTTTGGACCAACAGTCAGGAAAACTGCACTGCTGAAAACCTTGTCTGGAGAGATCATCACAGACTGCAGCAAGCAGATGAGGCAATGGGCAACATACTATCAATAACACAACAATTGACAGCAGCAAGACTCTGCCTTGGAGCTGTCCTTCCTTTTCTTGACAAGCTGAAGAATGCCATCAACTCTCAGACATGTGGTAAAGCCACAAAAAAAATTCAAATACTTAAAAAACCCCTATTTCTTACAGTACATAGCAATGATTAGTTAACAACTTACAGCTCAAGGGTAGGGTGACAGTTCCTGCATGGAAACAACTCTCATCAAACTCTCCCTTGTATCCTAGGAAAGAAAAGGGCAAAAATTCTAGCTACTAGAGAGAACTGTAAAAAGATGCAATGCAAATCCAAAGAATTCATTTTTGGCAAACCTACTCTTCACCACCAAGGAAGCATAGGCTGAAAGCTCTCCTTTTACATTCATGGCAGAAGCACGATACTGTGCAGTGTCTTCAAAATCACATCTGAAAAGAATGGAAGGATTAGCAATAATGTCGCTGTCAACAGTAGAGTTACATTTTTATATTTATGGTGTTTTTTTAAAAAATGAGCAATATCCTCCAGCATTGCTAGTCAAAATGTTGCTCAGTGTTGATAAAGGTGTCCTCTATCTAAAAGGAATGATCCTTGAACTAGAATATGTTAATGTAGAAGGAAAAATGTATAATTCAATTCTGAATGATAAATAATGAGTAGGCTTTATGAGAGTTTTTAAAAAGCAGATGTGGAACAAAAATATATAACTGGATATAAATGTTACTAATCCTGAATTAGCTTATGTGCCTTTTCTAGTTACCTGCTTAATGCTTACCAGCAAACAATATGGATATTCACATTCACTTTATATCTCCCATTTCCTCTCTTCTAACATTTCAACCACATTCTTACCCCTAAATGCATGCAAGAAAGCACTCTTCTCATTCACCCATGCTGGCTTTACAAGTATCAATTCTATCCCTACCACTAGAAGAGAATTTCACTTTATTGACTGAATCCAACTTTTGTGCATCCCAAATATATAAAATTTCTATTTAGTAGAGGGTCAGGCATCAGCCAAAATGTTTCAGAACTGTGGGAGGGTAGCAGGAATGTAACAGGAATACAGCAAAGTATGGTAGTTAAGAGAGCTGGTGAAAGGGGAGAGTGCTGGAACGTTATTGAAGGGTTTCAACAGAAAAGAGAAATGAGAAAAGCAGCTGTTAAAGGGTTTTGTATTTTAGTTATTTCAGCCTTACCTCGGGTTCTTAATACTTGCTCTCAGGAACAAATTTCTCCACTAAAGCAGTTTCTTGTGGACCTGTTTTTTCTTCATGGAACAATTTGGTCCAGTTTATGGGGCAGAGTTGTCTTTTGCCAATGAAGAAATAGGACAGTGTGCGCTGCATCGCACCAGAAAAAAACATTTCCATGGGGTCTTATGCCCTAGTCACTCAAACCCCACTCTTAATCCTGAACAATGTTTTAATTGTTTTAGGAACTGAAATCTCATGAGCTTTATTTGGGAGGAGGCCTGCATCTTATCAGATTCTCCAGGGACATTAGATGAGAAAGTAAGAAATTCATGGAAGGTGGGCTGCTACTATTCCTTACAGCAGATGCACTTAATGTGAAGTGAAGTTTGGAGATGAGAGTCGATCTTTAAGTCAGACTAGTGTTTTTCTCCCAAGAGGAGGGCATGGAAAAGAGCAAAGGTAAAAATCACAGCAGCAGCTTGGATCCCAAGTTGTCATCTATGTGTGCAGGGAGAATACTTCCACATGTGAATGGAAGGAGGGTGTTATCAACCAATTCCCATCACCCAGATGCAGCCCGTGTCAAATTGCACACCATTTTTAAAGGGGCTCCTGACACTCATGAGTAGTTTCTTGTTATTTTGAAGGTGTGGGAGCCTGCAGAGCAAAAGAGGGATGCAAGGCTCCTTGGGCACAGGTGGGATGCTGCAGGTGGTACTTCGGAGCCAAGTGAGAGCTTGCAGAGATGCTCAAATAATAACGGTGAAGGGGCTGTACTGGTGAATTTCTTTCTGTATCCACAAGCTTAGCTTTAAAATAAGCACAATAAATGGGCACATACTTGATGAACTCTTACAGCAGAGCCATAACTTTTTCTGGGATGTAGACTCTTCAGAGTTTAAAAAAAAGTTATGTGGATAATTAATTTCAACATCAAGTCATGTGCACAGGACCAAGGTGACAGAATAAACTTGCCAGGGATAAAATGTGTATTGGGAGAAGCTCTGCGGCTTCAGTGATAAAAGTACTGAAATGACCCTCCCCATGTAAATAAAGCCATGTCTGGCAGAAGGACAATCTTGGTCTGAAAGGCATATTTAGCCTCACTGTTAGTGTCTATTAAAGTCCTTAAAGTACTAAGTTCTAGTTAGTCAGGCTAATTATTACTTTCTAATGCCACATTCAGAGTAGGATTAGGATCCACCATCCTAAGAACCAAGATAAGAAAGAACCACAGTTTCAAATAATTGCTAATAATTATGCTATAGAAATAGATGGATATTTTAACCTTCTTCAAAAGAAGGGGAATTTGAATGTTAAATGCTGAAACATTTATCCAGCAAAGCTCATAACCTGTAAATGTGGTTCAAGCTGTAAAACAATACCAACAAGGGAGATCATTTCTCCTTGGGAACTCAGGAATTCATGAATCACCATGGGTCAATCAGAATCTGGTACAGATTCAGGATGTACCAACATTTTGCTGTACTAACATTTTGATATGCCAGTACAGGTTTACTCTAGAGAAGGAGAAAGAAATAGAGAAGGATGTGCAAGGGAGAGAGACATTATGTTAGATTCCATGTCCAAATTCCAGATTGCTTACACTAGGGATAGATGGTTAAAATATTTTGGACAACTCCTTTAGCACCAAACTGTAGCAATTTGATCTTAAGGTGTCTCCAACAATTTATGCAAGAAATCATTATTTGGGCATATGATCAGGCACAACACTGACTGTTCAGTTGGGAGGACAGCATTGGCACAAGGATTCCCTTTGCTCATAACTGCCACAGACTTTAATTTTTTTTAAGGAAAATTTGATTATTTGGCAGGCATTGTGGGATAATGTAACCCAGCTGCTTTCACCTCCTCAGTTCTGTGAAGAAAAGGGGGATGACTCAGAAGTCAACTACTTTACCACACAATTTATTTAAAACAGGAAGAAATAAGTCATTAAAAATCCAAATCACACTTTACGTCAACCAAATGAAATAAAATAGGAGTAGCTTGCATTCATTTATTCTTACTAATAAAATCTGGCTCATCAAAAAAACTCATTCAGTTGTGTGAAGCAAGTCTAACTGCTAGGGCTGTATCCAAGAAAGCTGTCAAATTCACATAGGTAGTTCCACAACAGAACGCTTCTGTTTCCTCACCATGTGTGCTCCCCAAATCTGTTTTGGATTTCCCCTTAAACCTCCACAGCAAATTTGGGGGGGATACAGGGGGAAAGGAGAAAAAAGTTCTGTTGCACAAGTGGAAGTCCTTGTTGGATACAAGTCCAAGTTCCCATCATCAAATTAAGTTATAGATTCTTTTATCTGTTTTTAATCTTCCAACAGTTGTCTTCATCAGATGCATGGATGTTAGTGCTACGAGAAAAGGGAGAAAAACCTTCTCTAGCTATGGATAATTTTATGAATACCTATCATGTCACCTCTTGCTCGCATTTCCTCTAAACTAAAAACGTCCCAAATGCTGCAACATTTCCTCATAGGAATTTCCATATCCTTCATCACTTTAGTTGCCTTTTTCTGAACCCTTTTCAACACTACAATGTCCTTTTTGAGACGAGGTGACCAAAACTGTATACAATATTCCAAGAAATAAATGTGCAACCTGCACATAGGTTGTAGTCCTCTCTAGCATTCCAATATTTCTTTTTCTCTTCTTCCTAGCCTTCACCAACTTTTATATTACAAGGATGTCAACAAATTCCATGATAACTTGAATGGAATGATCAGGTAACTTGTCAGTGTTTGTCCGGCTTGCTAAATGTTATGCCACATATCAGTCTGTTGGCTTCGAAATCTTTCCCTTCTAATTTAGGTTTAGAACACAATATGAAAGAGCATCTCAAAAATGAAGAATGATGGTGTGCCAGTATTTTTATGCCTAAACCATGCCTTCTGTAGAAACTACATAGCATGTTCAAAACCTGAAGTAGTCTGCATCTAGGTGAACAGTTTTAGGATCATAACAGGCAGATGACCAAATAAGGGCAAATCCACACCATACATTTAATATACATTCAAAGCACACGATTCTGGAAACTATAGTTTGTTAAGGGTGCTGGGTATTGTAGTTCTTTGAGGGTGAAGCTACAGTTCCCAGAAATCTTTGGGGGAAATCATGTTGTAGCATTGAATGTGCTACAAATGAATGGTGTGGATCTATCTAATGGGGAGGAGCTAACACTACCCAGATGCTTCAGACGTTTAGGTAATGTTAACCTGTTTTATTATTTTAACTTTTGTACATTTTAAAGTATGGTTGTGATTTTTATTTTTTTTTATTGTTTTATCTTTTCGTAAACCACTTTGATATTTTTTACTGTCAAGCGGTGTACACGTTTTATGAAATATAAATAATGTTCACACAGAAATCTGCAGCAGACAATATGGTACAAGTGGGATAACTGTGTGAATAACACTATGCTGAAAAAAACCCCCCAAAATATTGTCACGCTATTCTGTGTTTCACTCTCTCAGTCTCATTGAAGGTACTTGTTGCTTGGTTCAAATGTAACACCAAATCATAATTTTGCACTACTAGAATAAGCCTGGAAAGAGCCTTAGGCTTGTGCACTTCTTCACCAAGTTGTTTTAAATTACTTCTTGTGTTTATATTCTTTTTTCGACAAACCATAATCCACCATTATGATGAGCCTGTACCATGAAACCAAATTGCAAACCAGAATTGCAAACCCTGGGCTCATCCACACTTCCACTTGCCCTAAAAAGCAAGGGTCCAAGCTGTTTTCTGTTTGCCCTGCCATTTTCCAAGAAAACCCACGCGTTAGCACCAAATCGGAGCAAATGTCAATCCATGGAAGATGCAATTGACGTTTGCTCCGATTCAGCAGGAAAGATGTCTGGATGAACTCCTTGGCTTTCAATCACCCCTGGTTTGCAATTCTGATTTGCCAGGCAAGCATAAAACATAATTTGCCAGTTCATACGCAATGACAAGCTATGGTTCTCTAAAAACCAGGAACTAATTATTTGGACTACATAAAGGTGTGGAAGGAAAAGGAAGCATGCAAGGCTGAGGCTCTTCCTAGACTCAGTCTTGCAGTGCAAAATTATGGATTAGCACTACATGTGAACCAAGTTACTGTTTATTATTTACTTTTTTAATCAATATGACTTTCCTTTGTATTAGTAAACTTAAAGTTTCATGGATCACATAGTCTTTCTTCATCACTGTAAATATTATGAAATGCATCAATAACCCTTTGTAGCAATTTTAAGATTACTTAGTTGATTGTAGACTTTTCCTATATAAATAAAACTACATTTCCATTTGGAAGAAGAGGAGGGAGGCAAGATAACAGTATCTCAAGAAAATAGAGGAAAAACAGTAATTCACATAATATAAATTTTAAAGGTAGCTTCCACTACTTATTTTAGCAGTAGTTTTAACACTGACAGAAGAGGCTATTTCCCATATTTGAAACTGGATTTCATTGGAAGTATGCAAAAGTGTGACAATTCATTACTCAGAAGTACTAGCCAGCATATATTTCCAATTGAAAATTGCTATCTGTAGCTATGTTCCATCTACCACACAAAAACAATCACGTCATACTCTAAAGAAAAGTATCAATTGGAAGATAAATAACAAACTCTATTTAGATAAATTTAGTATTTTCCATTCAAATGTTGACAAATCAACTTGTCTGTTAATCTTAAGGGAGAAAAGGGTGGTACATGTGTATCATGATTTAACTTTTACTGTATCTACGATCAAATTCACAAACTCAGGTTGCAATTCTATGCATACTTACTGGGAGTAACTGAATTTTGTCAGACCGAGTAATCACACACAAGCAGGATCCAAGGCTATATGCCATAAAACTCAAAACATAAACTGTTCCAGCTATTAACTTCTAAGAAGAAAGCTTTACTAATTTGTCATTACAACACCATCCCTTTTCAGGATTAAAAAAGAGAGAATCATGTCATATATGATAGTCACACCATGTCTTTCCATCGACTCAGATCAAGAAGATTTTGATAGTTTTGTTATTGTCCCAGTAGGTCAAGATAACATTGACTCCAGATCTTCCTCCCACATTTTCTGGGATTACATCCCATAAACATATACATGTTTTGTTCTTGAGGCAACAGCATCCCAGAATATGTAGCTTGAACGGGACCGGCAGGTTTCCTTGAGACCCCTGCAGTCATGGGAAATCAGAATTTGTGAAGGCCTCAACACCAACAGGATCTGTTGCTCATTAATCACGCTCTGTGAAGGAATTTCTCTTTTGTAACTTCCCCAATTAAAGGCTAAGAAATCACAGGATCTTGCTTTAAATCAATATGGAGTCGTAAAAGAAGGATGACCTTAGTGTGAGAAAGACTCTGATTTTGAAAGCTCAGAAACTCTTTTAATCAAAATCTAAAAGCCCCCATGAAGGGATGATTAGATTACTTAAAACAGGATAAATTGCAGCCAAAACAGCAATCCAAGCTCACAGAAGAAATAACACTGCAATCTTCCTTCCATAGCCAGATTCTAGAGGGCAAATTGTCCAGCAATTAGTGGTTCTATTTGAACTACAAGAAATTACATGCTCAAATACAATAGGGGTAACAACACTAGATCAGAGAATTAATTTTGATTATACAGCAGTAGAAAAAAAATGGATCAATCAAGTAGTGTAAAGGCCATCAAATCTAGTCCAGATTTGTTAATAAGAGCCTCAATCCAGCTGAAAACCCCCCAGAATAGTTTCTGTTTCAGCATATACATCTTTTTTGATATTGGTAGCTTTATAACAGTACCTTCATAAGCAACACACGCACATTACATATATGCTGGCAATTATTACCCAGTTCTGAATCAGCAGGAACAATAAGCTGTACTGCTATTCCCTTACTTGTTTATTTCCAGAGAGTGCATCCCATACCGACTTTCGATTGCATATTTGCCAGGATTAATGTGGACATTGATGGGAACATGGTTTTTGTACCTAAGAAAAAACAGTATTAAAATGGTCATGAGCTATGAATAAAACAATGTATAGATTTGCAAAATAGCATGTATCCCAATATAGAACCCAGTTAGATTCTCAGAGTATCACCCATCAGCTGGCAGAGTGGGAGGCACTAAATTTAATGACCTGCTTTGCATTCTGGCACCTGACTGGCAGTATTTGCAGGATCTAACTGAGAATTCTTGTGCACATAGGAATTGGGCAGGGGAACTGCACACACAGCATCCATTATACTGTACACATGATTTGGGTTCTAGCCACAGCAGGAAAAATGAGTGCAGCTAAACTTTGCTTGATTATATTATCTTGACATTAATCATGGATACATCCATTTTAATATCTCCTGATTTCAGTGTGTAACAACGCAGCCATTACTCAACACATAAAACTGAATAAACTAAGAATGTGGCCACTGTCACACATGAACTGCTTCTGTTAAAGTTTGACTGCTACTCTTTGTGGACCTGCCTTTGAATTCTATTTGGCCACTGTGGATGGTCCAGGATATGGCAGCAAGGGTTTTAACCTGAACTTTCCACATAAAAACATTGTGCTGATTTTTTGTCAATTTTGCTGGTTTCCAGTAGATTTCTGGACCCAAAGTTTTGCTACTGAGCTTTGTAGCTCTAAATAGCATCTGTCCAGCATAACTTAAAAGAACATTCTCCCATACAATTTTGCCCATTCACTCAGATAAAAAGGTTCTCTGTGTTTCGCCAATATTTTAGGTCTAGTGGGTGATTACACAATACAGAGCCAAGGTTGATTTCTTATTCAAAGTACATGTATCTATTCTCCTTAGGCAGCAAGCCTTCTTTGTTTATAGCACTTCTAAGGAAGCAGATAGGTAATGTTCCTGGATTCCCCTTACCCATTTAGCTTTAATGGTTTGTTGTTATTTGTTCTGTGCTGTAATTACGTTGGTTTTAGCTCAGTTTATTTTTATTTGGATGTAGGCTGCCTGGTAGATAATTTGATGGAAAGGTGGTCATAAATGCATATATAAAGAAATATGATGGTTAAATATGAAATATCAGTTTTCATATATATGTGTGTGTGTATATACACACACATGTATTGATCCGAGCTATTTCATTTGATTTGCGGCATAAGTGAATGAACCATCTACATATTTCAGCACCTAAGCTATTTTTAATACTGTCATTTCTCCCACTTGATTCAAAAACAAAAACCAGGAGACCCAGTCCATTTCAACAAACAATAAAGTGACACCTTGTTGAATGGCCAGCAGTGTTATATTTAGCTCTTCCAAAACAAAGTTACAACTAAATCTGTCTCTTCTATCAATCTTCACATAAAAGGCTGCCTGTCAGCACCTTCTGTGATGGACAATTTAGACTAGTGCACACAGGTGCACATGTTAAATATAAATGGTGCTGAACTTTAAGACAAAGTCGGGAATGATACCTCACAAATTATTTGTTGTTTGCATTTATACTGCACTTAGACTTAGTACATGTGTATAGAACATCTTAAAACAGAGGAAACTTGTGCCTCTTGAATGCAGGGAGTTGGACTAGATGACCCTCAGGGTCCCTTCCATCTCTACAATCCTATGATTCTAGGGGAGAGCAAGGAGCAATTTCACTGCAGCAAAACCGGAACCTTTCCCACTTTTTCAGCTGCTCTGTATGAGATGCTGCAGTTACTCCATGTCCTTGTTAAGGCAACCTGCAGAGATGTGATGAAAACCAAGCAGTGTGCTTGGCTCAGACAATAAATATATTTATGTCCAGATATAAATAAAAAGCTGCACATTTAAGATGGACCATTTAATCTCTGATGAGTAAAATTCCAGGAGAGGTAAATCATTTGCTAATCTGGGGTTGCAACACTCCTACTCTTACTGTGTACTAATAGTTTGCTCTAACTGCCGATAGTCTCAAATATCCTGGAGTTTCCATATCTTTTTTCATTGAAATCCATAAAGCAGCATGATTAAATGAAACGCATCCCAATGCAATATAAGGAATTCCTCAGAAGAGGCCGCTACAGCCTGTTTGCCCACAGCTCTTGTCATTTCTCTATCCTTGTATTAATGCAGTTCACTTCAAGTACATGCATGACATTTGTTTAATCAATGATGAACAAGAGCTGTCAGATCAGGTTCACTGCATTTGGTATCCCAAAGCAAAACACCTGTTCAGACCCTCCCTCATTCTTTCCATTGGGAGCTAAATGCACACAGTGCGGTTCCATGCACTTTTACTCCAAAGCAAGTCTCATTGCATTCAGTGGAGCTTACTTGCAAGTAAGTTTGGATGGAACTGCCGCCTAAACACCTAATGGAATCCCAATAAAGTACATTATTACATGGAATTCTAAACCATACATATTGATATATACCAGGGGTGGCCAACTCCCAAGAGACTGAGATCTACTTACAGAATTAAAAACTGGCAGTGATCTACCCCCCTTTTTGGGGGTTCAGGTCAAAGGTTTTTGGGGTTCAGGTCAAATTGCTGGGGAAACATACAGCCTCACTGAGAAAACTCTGTCTTCCATTCTGCAGATTGTGCAACAACGGAGGGTGGGGTGGGAGGGGACCGGATTCAATTTTACCAACGCTAAGGAAAGGAACCCAGTGATCAACCACGATCTACCAAAACCTCCCAGGAATCTACCAGTAGATCATGATCGACCTGTTGGACATCCCTGAAATATACTTATATTTATCATTATATGTCTATCAAGAACTCTGGAATGATGGAAACATTAAAACTGTACTGTGAAACTACGCTCTCTGGAATCAATAGAAGTGGATTTAATCTATTCACCCGTATGCGCACTTGGGTTTCTCATACATATGGCAGAGCCCCATTCATTTCAGTGGGAATACCAATCAGTACAATTAAAGTGCATTGTATATAAATTAGCTTTCCCATTTCCACTGAGATTAGTGGGGAAGGTATTCTGATTCTTTAGTTTGTATATTGTAAGTCAGGCTTGGATTTGTTTTCAGTATTGAAAGTTGGAATACAGATTGAATGACTAATTGAATTGTTTACGCACAAGAGTATGGACTTCATATGTGCACTGCAGCTCCCGATACTTGGAAGATTACAGTGTGTACAAGAGCTGATGTGTGCAGTTCCTCTGCCCAATCCACACACGCTTCAATTTCACATCAAAGGTACTATTATCATCTCTGCTCAGGGTGTGTCAGCAGTCATAACTAAATACAGATTATCCAATTAATGACACATGCTCTAAGATTCAAATTCAAAAATGAAATATACAAATTCACCTGTGTGAATGGCTTTATGCATGCACAAAGCAGTGTGGCATTGTCCAAAATGACGGCTTACAGACTGGAGAACATTTCAAGCCTTCTGATCAGTTTTATCTCTCTCAATGCAAAAAAAGCTTGAATTTTATTTTCATTTTAGCCATTTTAAACGCACATATATAATCAACCACATGCAGTGCTGATAAAGAAAGAAGCTTACCATGTAACACGAGGCTCTGGCCAGCCAGTCACAGTGCAGTGTAATTTGACATTCTGTTTTTCCCAGATAGTGTGGGAACGAGGTTTGATAACAAATTCAGGAGCATGTAACAGTTTGTCTTCATTTAACTTTCTGTGGAATTCTATCTTATCACTTAACTGCAAGGCAAAGAATCATCTTAAACTTTATCACCTGGATACATTATAGTTTTATAACAGGGAAACATTATTTTTGTTTACAACAACCTTTCCCAATCTGGTATGCTGCAGACAACTCTACAAGGCTACTCTAGAACAAGTAGAGAGGAAATAACTATGCTTGTTGCATGCTGCTATAATTTTACAAAAGGACCAACTTTTAAAATAAAAACATGGGGGTTGTTTGAGATTTTCTGATAATTAGCCGAGTGCACTTACTCAGAAGTAAAGTTTATGGAAGTTGTCAAGAAACTGAACTTTGTCACCTGCCCAGGGCTACTTGTATGAACTGTAGCATATTAGATGGGATAAATATTTTTTACTTCTTTTCTCATTGGGGATTATAGGTTTAACTGAGAAACCTAGCAATTTCCCCGAGGCTCAAATATCAAGGCAGTCCAATGTGGATGTAAGGAATGGCACATCTCTTGTTAGGGGGTCCTTGAAACTGGGCTATCTGGGAAAAGCATATGATGGACAGAGTGAAGCTATGTGAATAGGTGCATAGCTGGGAGGTGGGCAGATCAAGATGGATCTCAGAGTGGTAAGGAAAGACTTTGGTACGCCTGGGAGAGAAAGGTAGAAAAAAGAGCTGGATGTGAACAGCAAAGGAGCTTGTGTAAGGTTCTATTTTTAGGGAATGTGCTTAGAGATAGGGTCCCATTGATTTTGGTAACCAAATCAAGAAATGAATTCAGCAGTTTGAATATTTCCCTCTGAAATCAAAGGTCACAAATGTGCTTAACTATGGCTGTGGTTATGTTTCCTACAGTTCTTTTACAACAACAACAAAAGCATTATTCCATCGCTGTAGTACCGTTTTCTTTAGAACCATTTCTTCAGCTGTCTCTTGTATTGCTATTTTTCTTGACTTTTTCTGATGTGTTTCTTCTTTCATAGAAGATGAAGTTTCCTTTTTGGCTACAGTAATTCCTTCCCCAGCTGCCATAAGGTTCCTTCTCGCAATATATGCAGCACTTTCCTTTATTCTTTCTTCTTCTGTGTCTGTAAGCCCGCTGATATGGGTTTGTCTGCAATATATATATTTTACATTGAATAGAAGACAACATTTTACATTGAACAGAATACAACATTTTACATTGAATATATATTTTTTACATTGAATATTTTATTTAGTTCAGCCTATTCCATTTTAAAGGCAATAGACCTTCTCTACAAGGTCTCCTTGGATTTTTATTATGATAACCACCATCTGAAGTGGAGAAAGGTAAAAATGAGAAGACAAGTGAGTGAATCAAAATGCTCAATGTACATGTTTTCAGTTCATTTTGGCTCTGAAAATCTGACACAGTATTTTATTTTTTTAGACACAGCTTTTCCAGTTACAGCTAAAAAGTAGTGCAATTATATTTAAAACATGTAATAAAGCAACCAAGTTAAAAACAAAACAAAACACATCTCACACTTAATTGTATTATAGCTTGCCTGTCATTGGTGCTTAACTTCTAGAAAGGGGAATGCCAAGACTCAGTGGCTAGAAGTGATTTCACTTATCTATGAAATATACATCAGAGCTTTCCAAACTGTGTGTCATGAAACATTAGAGTGTTGGCTGCGGTGTGTAGGTGTGTTTTGATAATACTCATCAAGCTCATCTTGGGGCAGGAAAGGGGTTAGTTTAATATCTGGTTTGTTAGTAAAACTGAATTACTGTGTTGCGAAATGATGAATGTCTAAAAAGTATGTTACCAACATGAAAAGTTTGGAAAGCTCTGGTCTACATGTTAAGGGTCAGGTTAATCCTCCCTTATCTACATATTGTAGCAAAAGGGGTAGCCCAGGTGTCATCCTCCAGGTGTTGTTGGACAGCAACCTCGGTCACCCCTGACTTTTGGCCATGGTGGTTGATACTCATGGAAGCTGTAGTCCAACAACATCTAGAGGCACTACATTGGCTCCCTCTGTACTACAGTTAATTCCTAGCCTTGGAAATGTGTGTCAGGGTTGAACTCTAGTAGCTCTGGTGCAAATTAATTCCTGTTTCCGGAAATTTATAAGTGATTGCAGTGTTCTCTTATCCCTTCCATTCAAACCTATCTCTAAATAGAATTTTACATTAAGGACCACAGCATTGCCCCCCCCCCCCGGCAACAAAAATCAACAATGGTTTGCTTCAAACTATTGTTAAAGGAATGGGTGGGTGTATTTCAAGATGTGGGAAGAAAATATGAATCCCACATGTGTGGGGTAAATAAAGAATTGGCTGAGTGCCTGGATTAAAAATGTGAGCCTAACTCACCCTCCAGCAGGTCAAGTAGCAGGTCAAGGAGAGAGATGGAACATCAGATAAGAAGGGGTATGACCTAGCTCAGTCTAGGAACCCACCACTATTATCGTAACTCCTTCATGCATTAACTAGTACTCGTGCATACTTATGCTTGACTGCAATCTCCTTCAAATGAAACTCTTTAGCATGGCGCATGGCTCTTTACAATGTATAACTTGATCACCACTAAAAACATCAAATCCATCCAGTTCATGAATTGGGGTCAATTTCTGCTTTTGGATGGAGCATGCTTTTAAAGAACTATTCAAGTACAGTGTAGACTCGTGTAAAGGCTTTTTTATGATTAGATTAATGTGTGCAGATATATCATCTTATACAACAGGGTTAGGAACATAAGAAGAGATTGCTGGATCAGACCAGTAAATCAGAGATAAATCAAGTTGTGTAACGAAGTTATGAAATAAGCTACAAATTAACTTTTTAAAAAGTTATTTGCTTATGAACACATATCTTGCAGGCCCCAAGCCCAACTCTGTTGGCTTCCAACCAGAACACTGGGCAGCTAATGTGTTGTATCTCTAGATAGCTTTCTGATGTAATCATTTTTAAAAACACACACTGCCTCTCTCTGGCAAATCATCTGTCAATGGAAAGGTGCAAGCTGTCCTTGTAAGAGAATGTAGATATGATTTATAATTTGCACATGGAAAATGAATCTGGACTCTTATCCTTCAGAGAATAAATGGACAGAAATGGTGTGAAACAGCATGTCCCATTCTGACACAAAAGCATAGATGGTATGTCAAATTTGTGCAACCATATGACAATGGATCAAGTGAGCTTTTCAACACTTTAAGAAATATTAATGAGAGCAGAGTAGTGGTGATAATGGTGAAGGAATTCCTATCCCATCACTCAATCCCCATATACAAATCCCAAGCATGTCTACAGGACTAGTAGAGTCTAAAGACAACTGGCTACTCCACATCTGTATTCAAGGATATGCCTGCGCCAGCTGTTATCACAATATATTTCTTCTGCAAAAGCACCAAAACTGTCTCTCTCACACTGCAAAGTGCATTGTACTCTTCAATCTTGAATGTGTCTGCCTGTGGACTTAATAATAAGAGAGAAAAGGAGTTCACTCTTAAAGCAATGTTTCAGCTGTGCTAATGCCAGTGCAATGTAGTTGAAATCCTATGCTCCCCTAGCAGCAACCTTAAAGGCACTTATGATGCCCCCAATTAGTCATGCATAGAAGGCACCAATCAAAAGTGATGTGAGGAAGAATATCAAGATGATATACTACACCCTGGAAAAACGCTAAACATGCACAAGCTATGTTAGTGTCATAGACATGATTTGTCCAAACACTCTTACAAGATATACATTGGGTCCCATCCATGTGTCTACTGGCTATATTTCCAGCAGGTCTTCTTATCAATGTCCTTTCAGGTGGGGGAACATTGTGCTCCTTCTGGGGTAGTTTGTCTACCTTTGGTCCCCACCCTGTACTCAGCTCTCACTTGTGTCTCCTAGAAGCTTTCATCATGCGACAGCAGCCACACCCCAGAAATGGTTTTGACTGGCTGGCTAAACCAGGTGAGGGTAGCTGATGGGTCTGAAACCCTTGGCAAATTAGGGACTTCCCCCGCACGTGAAGACAAACTCCAGCAGATTGAGCAGACAACACGAATAGTGAGTTCAATAGTCAAGAAGGTAGTTTCTGCTGTAGAAGGAAGTGAGGGGCCGATGGGGCACATCAACCTAGGAAGGTAGCCCATCTAGGGGATTTTTTTGGGAGAAGAAAGGGCTAAGGAATACACCCTACAAAAATCCAAAGCTGAGTCCCTAAGACTCCTTTGGACCACATCAGTGAGGCCGAGAGAGGCGTCCTGTTGTATGGGCAGCCCAGGACCTCCATAGACACTCACCAGGCTTGTGCCCCAAGGAAGGCACTTGGAAGGCACTTGGAAGTGCTGCAAACGTAGCAGTTTGACTTCACCCTCAGAGGCATATTCCATTGTCTCTCGAGACAGATGGATAGCAGTTATCAACAACTGTATCGTATCACAAGGGGAAAGCAATGAAAATGTTCTGGTTTTGATTTGGCTTCTATGTAGAAATGTTCAGAGTCACGCTCATTTTCACCACAACACAAACCTACCACATCACATATATCAGGGATAACCAATATGGCCCTTATATAAATCTACATATATCAACTACTTTTCTTCCAGATGTGAGCAGCAAATCCATTACAAAGATACACAGACAAACCATGCTCTTTATCCCTGCTCCTGTCCACAAATCAATGAAAAAGAGACATACCTTCCTCTGAATACAGGTACTACATACTCAATAGCTGTGTTTTCCTTCTCTTCTTCTGACAATATACTCTGCTTAGCCCGCTTTGCTTTGGGACTTAACTTGAAAGAATAATCGTCCAACATTTTTCTGAAAGAAAAGTAATATTATCAGATTTATAAAGACACTGCATATACAATTAGATTTACAAGCATATGCCTTAGAAAACCATATCTAAACATAAAAGATACATTAAATATATCAGGACATCTGCTTATCTACAAGTATACAAGGTGAACATTGGGGAAGCAGGCAAAAAACTACATAGAAAAATAGATGGAAAAACACAAAGATATAATGGTCAATTCAGTATTGCCAAACTTATATACAATAATGAGTTTTTTGTTTTTATTTTGTCTATCTGAGCACTGTCTTTAATAACATCAACAGGAAAAAACTCAAATCTAGATTACTCCTTGTTATTAGCAACAGCTAAGGAGCTTCCACTGTTACTATTTTGCAAAAGGGATTCAAACGCTTACTGGAACTTTTGGTTTCTGCAATTAAAGTGCATTAAAGCACTCTGTCACATTACTGCAACAATTCTGCTTTTTAAAAAGCATGGACTTTTTAATGTGATGGGAAATGCATGGAAAAGTGTGCAATAAACAAATTATTTGCAGGAAGATGGGTAAACACCCCACAAGTAAATCCAGATAATTGCAGAATGAGTGCTTATTGTCATATAACTGTCCCATAAAAGTATAATAAATGGTTAATAAAGGTTGGACACAGTCTAACCACCAAGTAATCTTTGTGCAAGCAAATCACGATATGAACTGGGCTTAACGTGCAACTACTTATTTACTTACTTACAATTTGCTTCTCATCTATCCTCACTGTGCTTCTCATAACAAAAGCAGCATTTAAATATATATATATATATCTTAAAGAATACCAAGGGTCAAAGCTCAAATTTCTGTACTTTGAAAACTATTGTTTCATATCACTTTTTAAAAAATATAACTTGCTCATACTGTTATGCCATCACTAGAATGATCTTTATGGGTCTAAATTCAATTCGAACACCTTCTTCATCTTATTACAGTCATACCTCAGGATAAATGTGCTTCAAGTTAAGTATTTTCGGGTTGCACTCCACGGCGACCTGGAAGTAACGGAGCGCGTTACTTCCGGGTTTTGCTGCGCGTGCATGCGCAGATGGTCAAATTGACGTCATGCACATGCGCAGAAGCGGCAAAACGCAGCCTGCACTGGCGCCGGTTGTGTTCGCTTCAGGATGCGAACAGGGCTCCAGAACGGATCCCATTCGCATCCTGAGGTACCACTGTACTTAGATTTTCCAGAGGGAAACAGAAAAGAGAACAGAAACAAGCAGCCTAAGTTTATGCATGTCTAGTTACAAATAAGTACCACTTGTTCAGTTGGATTTAGTCCTAGCTACTTCTGCATATGCTTATTACATACCTAGACTGAAATCCAATGCACACATTTGGGAGTAAGCACTCCTGAAAATGAGGGGCGTGGGTGGCGCTGTGGGTAAAAGCCTCAGTGCCTAGGGCTTGCCGATTGAAAGGTCGGCTGTTCGAATCCCTGTGGTGGGGTGCGCTCCCGTTGCTCGGTCCCAGCGCCTGCCAACATAGCAGTTCGAAAGCACCCCCGGGTGCAAGTAGATAAATAGGGACCGCTTACCAGCGGGAAGGTAAACGGCATTCCGTGTGCTGCGCTGGCTCACTAGAGCAGTGATGTCACGCTGGCCACGTGACCCGGAAGTGTCTCCGGACAGCGCTGGCCCCCGGCCTCTTGAGTGAGATGGGCGCACAACCCTAGAGTCTGTCAAGACTGGCCCGTACGGGCAGGGGTACCTTTACCTTACTCCTGAAAATGGGGCTTAGTTCTGAGTAGATACGCAAAGGATTACACTGTTTATATCATAAATATTCTGAGTAGCATTTCTTCAGAAGAAGTACAGAAATGTAAGCACTGATTAAATATAAAGCCATGCTGTAACTATTTTTTGCTGGATTGTGGATATTAGTGAAAGGGGAAACCCAATGGAGCTATTTGTGCCAGATCCTGAATCTGGGGAGTCCCCCAGACCCTCCAAGTGTCCCTATGTTCCAGGGACGTCCCTGATTTAGAGAATCCGTCCCGGTTTCTGATTTGATCCTGGAATGTCCCACTTTTCCTTAGGATGTCCCTATTTTCATTGGAGAGATGTTGGAGGGTATGGAGTTATCTGACCCCCGAACCGTCTGAAGGCCATCCTGCATAGGGAAGTTTTTTTTAAATGTTTTTATATATGTCGGAAGCAGCCCAGAGTGAATGGGGCAACCCGGTAAGATGTGTGGGGTATAAACAGTAAAATTATCATTAAGGAATGGGACATCACTATAGTCATCGTAGAAATGTTGGAGGGTATGGTCCACCTGACAGTGAAATGCAGATGATGTTTGGCCACACACACACACACACACACACACACACACACACACACAATTTGACTAACAGTAACTGAAAGGTCATGAGGCTGTTGTCCCTGAAACCAGAGAGCAAAGAAAGTGTGATAGGTCCTACTCTGGGGAGATTCAGTTCCACATACCAGGTAAGAAGCTCTGGTTGCAACATCCTTCACTGAAGGGCAATATTTTAGAATCTACTCTGGGGAATCTAGAAGCTTCTCTGTCTATAGCAGTGTTTCCCAACCTTTTTTGGGCAAAGGCACACTTGTTTCATGAAAAAAATCTCGAGGCACACCACCATTAGAAAATGTTTAAAAAATTAACTCTGTGCCTATATTGACTATATATAAAGTAACTCTCTTTAATAGGAATCAAATAAACACAAAGATAGTATTTTATAATTACTTTATTATGAAATAGTAAGTAAACAGAAATATGAAAAATTATAAAATACTTTATTCAGTGCGCAACCTGGGCCTGTTTACCATGCGCACAACATCATCCAACACATGAACTAGGTCTGCTGGTAAAGTCTTGGCTACAAGGGCCTCACGGTGCAAAAAACAATGCGTAACAATCACATCTGGATTTCTTTCCTTCACTCTGCTTACAAAGCCTTTGAAACCTCCCTAGATATCATCGTCATTTGCATGCTGTTTCCATAGTTAAAAACCATGCTCGAGGCGGCTTACGACATGGCAATATTTACATAATTACCCAAATGCACTCATAAGAAACCGTATCAAAGCGCCCACAACGAAATTAAGCAATCCCCACACAAGTTATAACGAGATCTATAAAGAGTAGTTTAGTATCACGAACAGCAAGATGGACATAAACAAAATAAAATCTTGACTCTAACAACCCCACCCGGCCTAAATCTCCTGCGCGCACCAATGCCCACGCAGGCATTTCCAGCAGCTCTTCCTCCTCCGCCTCTTTTTGCGTTGCCAGCAAAGAAGGAATGAGGAAGAAAAGGCGCAGCGGCGAAGAAGCGCGTCTTCTCAGAATGTTACGCTGCTGGCCCGAGGACTACATTTCCCAGAATGCCCGCGGCCGCCCAGCCGAGCTGCGCCCTGATTGGACGGCGTTGCCTAACCGCCTCGCGCCGGGGCTGGAGCGTCGGCAGAGGCGCGCGCCATAAGACGGGCGTCGCGCGTGGAGCCTGGCTCGGGTCGCCAATGCTGCGGGCGGACATGGCGACTGGCGGGACTCGGGGCGCGCGCTGGGCCGCCTGCCGCCTCCTGGGCCTCTTCTGCGGCGCTGCGCTGCCCTTCTCGCTGCAGGGCGCGACGAGAAAGCGCCCCCTGGCCCCTCCCACGGCCACAACCAGGAAACATCTCGCGGCCACACTAGTGTGCCGGCGGAACACCCGGTTGGGAAACACTGGTCTATAGACCTCTAGTGAGCCTGTACCCAAGGGACTATGAGAAAACTGATTTTAGAAACTTTTATAGTTAGTCTGCCAATACCTCAGGTGGCAATCCTATAAACATTTACCTGGGACTGTACACCACTGAGCCAGCGGTGGAGCATATGCCCACGCTGCCCAGGGAGGGCGCGCTCCCGAGGGGGATGGAGCTCACAGCCGAGGGGGCGGAGGGTGCCCTCCCAGGCGCGGGATAGCCGTTTGGGTGCACGGAGCCGCGTGCGTGCCCTGCAGCCGGGGGCAGAGTGAAATGCCCATGGTGGACATTCAGTGTGCTGCCTGCCCACAACTCCCAAGCCTCCCCCAGCTGTCAAAACGAAGGGGGAAAGGGGGAATGCCGCCAGCAAGGCGGTGCAGCTCCTCCCCTTTCTCCGATGGCTCGGGGTAGGCTTGGGAGTTGCAGGAAGGCAGCGCACCAAATGTCACCCCCACCCCCAGCGAAGACACCCGGGGCGATCCACCCCCACCACACACCCCTTCCTCCGCCCCTGAACTGAGCTCAATGGGACTTCTGAGTAAATTTGTATCGGTTTAAGCTACTCTCAATCCCACCATATATCTTTGAGCAGAATGGCAGGATATAAATGATCTTAAATAAATAAATGGTTTTAGGAAACATTTCAGGGCACAAGGAGGTAGACCTATAACTTGTTTGTAAGAGCAATGGTGTTGTTTATATATAGCATCAAAAATAACAGCTTACTCTAACATCTGTATGTAAGATCAACTTACAACAGGATGATATGTATTCATTGGGAAAGAAACTTGATTTTCAACTCTGGTCCTGCCCAATTCATACATTACTTGGCTATTCACAACAGTGATCCTAGTCACTGCTGAGTATGCACATACAGTGGTACCTCAGGTTACATACACTTCAGGTTACATACGCTCCAGGTTACAGACTCCGTTAACCCAGAAATAGTGCTTCAGGTTAAGAACTTTGCTTCAGGATGAGAACAGAAATCGTGCTCCGGCAGTATGGCGGCAGCAGGAGGCACCATTAGCTAAAGTGCTGCTTCAGGTTAAGAACAGTTTCAGGTTAAGAACAGACCTCCGGAACAAATTAAGTACTTAACCTGAGGTACCACTGTAATGCTTGAGTCCAGCGCATAAGTTACTGAGTGGCAGCAAACACTGTATTTCTAAATGAGAAGTACCCAACAGTCATGGCTATTGCAGCCAAACACCACCTATGATCATTCTGTTCTTATATTTATTTGAGAATAGCTAGAATAATTCACAAAGGATTTTGAGTCATATACGAAATGCCTGAAGCAGCCTTATATTGCTTCATAAATTTAATTACCATAGGTAGGAACATCTGAGACTGACATTCAGAGCCATTGGTTTAGAATGTCACCTGACAATGTGAACTGCTTTCATGTCTCATCAGGGCTGAGAAGACAAATTGTACTATGGTCCCCTAGATGTTATTGATTTGGATGCTCTTATGTCACTACAGAGTATGATGACATGGTTAAATTTAGCTGAATGCTAAGGCATTGAGAGATTTTAGAATTAGAATGCTAAAGCCAATTAGCAACTTTTGAAAAACTGCTTAGGTCTTGCCTACATAAAGAAGGGGGGAACCCTGGGTATGTTCATATTACAAATTGATGTACAGTTTCAGGATTTTAAAGACATTTGCTGCAGACAGACCGCTTATGGTAAGCAATGAAAAAGCCTGGAAGACGCAATACCTTTGACAAGCAGAGTTTGATTCCTGCTTCTTCAGATCTAACATAGTATGTTACTCTGTGAAACAGGCTTTCCTTCTAAATAATAATAAATGCACAAATTCCTTTCAGAAAGGTGAAGCATGTGCTGTGTTGCCAGATCAAGCAGAGTAACAGGATCCCCCTAGAGATTGCCCTACTAGTCTAAGGTTGGAGACTCAGCTATTTCATATTCTATCTCCTAAGTGACAAACATATCTGATTTAGCAGAAGATGGATAAGAACCCTTCAAAAGACTGATAAATTTTATTGATTGAGGTTTTTCTCCTGTCCCTTCTTCCACAACTTTGCTTTGTCTGCCACATGACAAATGAATGAAGTAGCTTAGCTTTATTCCATGCACTGGATTGGGTAAGATTATCTGACATTAAGGTGTCCTCGACTGTAGGGTCAAGTTGAGAGCCTTCCAAATGTTGGCCAGAAGCCATGAACAGGTTTAGGGCACATAAAGATCTGTGCAAGATATTTAGCACATTAGAGAAGCTTGCTGAATAAGCATTAATCAAATATTGAAACGCAAGGTATATAGCTGCTTTGAACTAATATATAAAGAAAAAAAAATACATATTTTTTTACTATAAACAAAAATAAACACACAGTTCAGATTATGTCCTAAACCACTTGATGGCTTGTAGGCACTGAGCAAAACATAAGAAAGCTTGACAGCAATACAGTGGTACCTCGGGTTACAGACGCTTCAGGTTACAGATGCTTCAGGTTACAGACTCCACTAACCCAGAAATAGTACCTTGGGTTAATAACTTTGCTTCAGGATGAGAACAGAAATCGTGCTCCAGCAATGCGGTGGCAGCAGGAGACCCTGTTAGCTAAAGTGGTACCTCAGGTTAAGAACAGTTTCAGGTTAAGAACGGACCTCCAGAACGAATTAAGTTCTTAACCCGAGGTACCACTGTACCAGGAAAGGCCCTGGAACTGATAATTAAACTATCAGTCTGTGAACACTCAGAAAAGGATGCTGTGATTACTAAGACCCTATTTTTCAGCAGCTGGCTCTAAGCTTTAAGGATCTGCTAGTTAGGAATCAAATGACCAAATATTCTTCTCCATACCTAAACTGATGACTAATGAAATAGTTCATGGCATGTAAAAGGGAACATCTTTATTTATACTTCTGGGCTGCTGGAATTCCCTTTGGCCAAGACACAAAATGCTTTGGTGTGTGACTATAGACTTTGATGAGTAAATCACCACAAGAGCCAAAACCACAGTGTGCATGTTGAAATCAATATTGTTTGATCATCACAATCTGGAAGAGCAGGACATATCAGACTTCCCATGGTAAGCACAAGGTTTTCAGGGTGGGCTATCTCTTTAAATCTGTTATGCCATACTTCCTAAGGCAGGCATTTTGTGTTAGGTCACCCATCCCCCATAGCAGTTGTTTTGTGACTGGAGCCTCCAGCGCTCCCTCAAAATTCAAAATGTGCCCACTGGTCCAAAAAGGCTTGGCAACCCATACTATAGAATGGTAGGAAAGAGCAAAAATAAAATGTAAGAATCTTGACTTGAAGAAGACATTTTTGCAGTAAATAATCTTGTAAATATAATCACTTAAGAGCAGTTATTTTTGCAGGAATCGAGTTCAACCTTGAATGTTCACTACTGTACTTAAAACTCTTTGCCAAAGCTGAAACAACACAGCCAGTTAAATAATGAATGAAATCATACTTTCATCAACACCAGCAATTCAGTTATAAAGGTCACATACTGAGCACTTCAGTCCAAGTAAGCACATACCAGCCTAAATCCCAATCACAAACAATTAGATAATGACTTCTGGCAAGATTATTTTTAAAAAACCTGCTGAGAAAGAGGACATTTTAATGGGATTTCACAACGGTATTGGATTTCCAGTTTCAGTGCCAACTTTTTCCAGTGATCAGAATACGTACTGAGGCAGCGATGATGGCATCATGATTAGTCCTTGCCCATCCTCAGATACTTAAATTACTATCTTTGGCCATTCTGCTATCAATTAAGGCTGATGTATATTTATTTTACATGCATGTTTATTTAAGAAAACTAGCAAATGTCTAGATTCATCACATCTGCTTCAATTTTCCTACTATATTATAGAGGAAAACCATGCTCTTAACCCTCTTGCGGGCAGACAGATGTATGTAACATTCTTCCAGTGTTTTCCTTTTCTTATGAAAAGTTAATGGGAGACTGTGTGTTTGAGGGCTCATTCACACTGAAGTTTAATGTAGATTTGAAGTTGCTTCTGTGTCTATACTTTTGGCATCCACACAATACTGTACTCTCATCCAAGTGGCAGCCTGCATTCCCCCCCCCAAAAAAAAATTAAATTTGGATTGTCCTGATCTGCAGATAATCTGCTAAGGGAAGAAAACACCACATATAATTGCATGTTACCCAACTGTGGGTGCATTATGCGGACAGGTTATTTTACATGTGTGTTCACATGCTGGGTTCTACCTATCATCACACATCCTACTTCCATTTTGTTTCCATCAGCCCAAAGGAAAGAATTCAGCTTGGCAATCTGGTATATTGAAAAACTTGTGGGTTAAAAAAATGCTTTAAAAGTGCATGTGTGCAGATAAACAAATACATGTGCGCATTCCGACAATGGACCGCAGCTTTCCAGAAAGGGAAATGCTAACTGAGGGGAGGAGACAACACCACACAGCATGAATACGAACCACCAAGCACCACCTACTGATGTGGACGGAGAAACAATGAGAGAGATTTCAGAGGCATAAAACTGAAAATGTTCATGTGTGGATGAAGGTGTACAAATGCACACATGGAAACAGCAAATCACATATAAATTTGTAAACCACTTTGAAGTTTTCTTTTTTGTGTTTTTTACAATCAACCAGTGTATAAATTTTATGAAATAATAAAATTAATTAATTAAATAAATGTAACGCCCTCACGTGAGGACAGCCTGACCTGAGGAACTGTGAGAGGAGGAGCTAATGAAACCATTTCCCTCCAGCCATTATTCCAATCAAAACCAAGGCCCCATTTTACCCATGGGGGTGGAAATACATACATTTTCATTCTGCATTGAAAAGCTGGGGGGAAGGGTGATGGCTGAAGGGTTAAGCAACTCTTTCCAAGCTCTCAAGCCTTCTTCAAAATCCCTGCAGCAAACTGCTGCATGTCTTTGCCTGTGTAATATCTAGGCTGGCCCTCAGAAGACCCATAGAAGAGACAAATACCATACCTTTGTGGGAAAACTGTAAAGTGTAAAAAATTACGTCTAAGAATAGCAAATTATTCCAGTAAAGAAATACAGTGGTACCTCTGGTTGCGAACGGGATCCATTCCGGAGGCCCATTTGCAACATGAAAAGAGCGCAACCTGCAGCAGCGCGTCTGCGAACGCGCGGGTTGCAATTCACCGCTTCTGTGCATGCGCAAGTGGCGAAACCCAGAAGTAACCCTTTCCGGTACTTCCGGGTCGCTGCGGGACGTAACCTGAAAGAACGTAACATGAAGCGGATGTGACATGAGGTATGACTGTACATATGATGATACATCACAGAACCTGCTCCAACTGAAGCCAATGGGGTGTTTGTCACTGAACTGAATGAAAAAGGAGTAAACATTTCCTTGCAAAGGAGCAAACTTTTGTGTTTACCCTACCCTCGACTGTAGGTTTCATATCCAAGGCGGTAGGCTTCAGCTTTCTTATTGACCAACTCAGATCCATGATGGTAGGCTTCCGCTTTCTTACTTATCAATTCAGATCCTAGACTGAGGGCTGAAGATCTTTTACTGTGAGCTGCTGATTCATGGGCATAGGATTCTGCCAATTCATGGCTAGATGCTGAGGACTGCTGGCCATGGTGGTAGGCCAATGCAGCTTCCTTACTATAGGCGGTAGATCCATGAGTGTAGATGGCAGATTTGCGCTTCTCCTCCCTTTGGTACTGACTTAGAGTGGACTCCAGCTCCTTGTGGCGATATGCACGATCAAAATGTTGATGATGCCTCTGGTAGAATGGTAAAGACATCTTGGATTTCTCTTAGCTCAGCCCACACTTTTGATGTTCTGTAAAAACAACAACAAACCACAAGTTAAATACTAGCATGTATGACTATGCCATTATGGTGGGGGGTTTTTAATGTCATAAGCTGCCTTGAACATGGTTTTAACTATGGAAAGACAGCATACAAATAAAATCATGTATGCATGTAAAGGTAAAGGACCCCTGGACAGTTAAGTCCAGTCAAAGGTGACCATGGGGTGCGGCACTCAACTTGCTTCAGGCCGAGGGAGTCGGTGTTTGTCCACAGACAGCTTTCCAGGTCATGTGGCCAGCATGACTAAACTGCTTCTGGCATAACAAAACACCGTGACGGAAGCCAGAGCACATGGAAACGCCGTTTACCTATGTATGCATGCATGTATGTATGTATGTATGTATGACATGCTCAATAATTTTTCAGTGATCATAATTAATCCAACAAAGATAGACTCAGATAAATACTGAAGGGAAGATTGTGGGTGGTATTCAACTATGTCTTACTCAGAGTAGACCCTTGAAATTAATCAACTTGACTAAGTAAGGTCCATTTAGTTCAATGTAACAATTGTAATTAAAACTTAGTTGAATACCACCCTGTGTCATGGTTATGCTTCACTGGGCTCATCTACCTGCAAACAAAACATGATAAATAGTAGTTACAGCATGTATGAGTATTTAAGTGTATGAATAAGAAACTTTCACAAGGACATAGGTCAAAAAATGCACACAAAATCCAATTTAACATTCCATTTATATAAGAACATCATTCATCTGAAGTTAAGAAGAACATTTATGTCCACACAGTTGTAGATTTTGAGTTTTATAACTTTCTATGAAAATTTGAAACACTTGTAGAAAAAAGTAAACTATTAGTTTCATCCCATGTGGCAATTCCTAGGAAAAACACAAAATGCTCTTTAAAAGCATCTGGTTACTCTTGTAGCATTATGGTACAGGAATCATTTGTCTAACTCTTCTAGAATTAAAATAATTTTTGTGTATTTTTCTTTTCTATTTCTTTTCTGTTTTTAAAAAATCTAACTTTCAAATCACATTTTCAGTATTGTGATTTCAACATTACGTTCCAGATTCTGCATTCCAAAATCATCTTATTGTGACCATCTCACAGAGTTACATTTGGAGAGACCCAAGATGCAAAACTGAAGAGTAAATGCTCCAAATACATCCATTTGCAAACCAGTTATTCTGAACCTTAGCATTCACAATTAAATGTGTGAATCCAAATTATAATTCCAGTATGTATAACTCATACAGTGCTTATTACAGTATTTCATGTTCTGCACTGTATGTGTGTCTGTTTCCTTCACTATTTATATAGGCATTGTTTGCATAACTGCAGTCTGTCTTATCTTAGTATAATTAACAGGCTATATCAAGGGTCCATGGTTCAACCCAAGGTTTCCAACACTGAAGATCTACCAACATAATTATGACTTTGTTCAAGATTCACTTGTTGACGCCCACCACCAGTACACACACACAGCCTTAAGCCTCTTCTGCTGCATTTTCCCGAGCACCTGCTGTTAGTGGCTCAGTGATTAAGTGACAAGGCTTCTTCAATCTTCAGTTTGAAAATTATTATTCATTTTGTGAATGGCCATTAGTTTTATCTTAGGCTTTGGAAATGCTAGATTCTGTGTGCGTGGTAATTCTTAGTGTGCGTGGTAATTTACAGAGGCATGTGCAGTAAAAATACCTAATTTGTCAATAATTTAACTATGATTAACTTTTTATATGTTAATGTAGGGCTAAATAAATGTACATTAATAGGAGCAGTATCATGATGGCAGACTTCTCACTGGCCTATGTATGTTCATTAAAACTTGTGTAGAAAGTGGCCACACATACTTGTGCCACACAGCTGTTTGCACAAGGGTTTGAACATTATAATGAATATAATTCGAACATTATATAATATATATATAACATAATATAATATAATTTGAAAATTATAATGAATACATTGCACATAGGTTGTGCATTGTGTTGGTATTCCCCTCTAACAAGGGCTGTAATATTTTAAAAATACTATGGGAATCTTGAAACACATAGAGAATCTAATCACCTGAATGGTTTTCATCTGAAGACATTCTGAAGTAACTATCACACACAAGCAGAAAGCATTTTAGAAGAGAACTGTTACACAACTAAACTTTCTAGTGGCACCATTAACTCATGTTTCATTTGAAAAGTACTTTAGCGGTATGTTACAATAGGTGAGCTGCTAAATATTTTGCATTACTTTGCTTTTTCTTGAAGGTTCACTCTTAAGATTTCTCCAATCTGCTGTTGAATCCATAATAGAAGAAAATAGAGAGATAATACTGGTCCACATTTATAACATACAGAACACGTTTGACAAATAATGTCTCTGGACATTGCATACTTACCAGTAGTCAAATTAAGAATGATAGAATTTCAGTCTTGTACAAGGATGAATGAGAAGAAGGGAGAAATCCAGCAAAAGTTCAATCCAGCAGAGTGGCTGACAGGACCAGGGTTGAGGGACCCTCAGGTCCAGAACAAAAATAATGACTGTAGTCAGTGGAATGTGAAAGCAACACTCCCAACCTTTTATGGCTGGAAAGGCTGTTAAATATAGCAGCAGCAAAGAGGGGGAGAGAGACAGAGTGCTATCCCTCCGCAAATATATGACAGCAGCTTCAAGCTACAAGTCTTCCCTCTCTCAAGCCTAACGAAATTGAGTCCCAAGGCCTTCTGCCAGCTCCTAAATGATGTCAACATGGCTGTGGAACTGACATTCATTGGTTTAAGTAATGAAGGAAAATCTGTTGCTCTATAAACCTAATTTAAAAATAAGTTGCCACTGTACTGACAGAAGCCAGAGTTACAGTAGTGTGACATTAATAAGGACTCCTGAATGTTCTTGTGCCCAGTTCCATCACAGGATGCTATTAACACAAGTGTTGATATATCTGCTGTGAACTGAATTTAGCCAAGGTAATTTGGAAGTGTGAAGGTAATTAGGAAAGCTGAACTGTGGGTTTCATGGCGGAGGGGGAATTATGTGATTTCTTAACAAGTTGTCAGTTTTTATAATCTGATAGAATCATAGAACTGTAGAGTTGGGAGGGACTCTGAGGTTCATCTAGTCCAATCCCTTGCAATACAGGAATTTCAACCAAAGCGTCCTTGACAGAGGGCCATCAACTTCTGCTTAAAAACCTCCAAGAAAGGAAAGTCCACCACCTCTCATGGGAGTCTGTTCCACTGCCAAACAGCTCTTACCGTCAGAAAGTTCTTCCTGATGTTTAATCAGGATCTCCTTTCTTGTAATTTGAGCCCATTGGTTCAGGTTCTAGCCTAAAGAGAGCTGCCTTCAGATATTTGAATATGGTTTTTCATTTCCTAAAAGAATACCTGCTGGTTGAAAACAGAATGTGTATCTTCTCTCACATTGTCCTTTTAACAAAGCCATCACTGGTCTCTGAGCAAAAGGTTGAAGATACTGATTTGGTAGAAGAGTGCACGAAAGGAGTGGATACCACGCTTAACCTGGCAGGTTTGGGAAATGAGACAGGTTTTGTCCATATTTGAATTAGGTCTGAATCCATGTTTATTGCTTTAAACTTCCCCTCACCAATCCACACAGGAGTGTCTTTGCTGTTGTATTTAGAACGAATCAGCCCTGTATATCCATATTGGCAGCCATTCCCATTGCTAGTTAGATTCCTGCTGAGTTTGCTTGTTAATTGTCTCATCAGTTACAGTTGGCTGCCTCATTCCACTCTTTTATGTTAGTTTCTTCAGGTGGCATTGTCAACATATGGAAAGATAACGTTTTTTAATTTAAAAAAACTGATCTGGTTTGTGTGGAATACTCATTTAAGGGAAAATATATTCTTTGTTCCCCTAAATTACTCTGTGCACAAATTAGATCAGTTTTTCCTTCCTGCCTTGCTGCTGCCAAACCAAACATTTTTGAATCTGTGGGAGCCTGTGGCAGGGATCAGATAATAATACAAGTTGGGGAGTCAGTGGGGCTGAGGAGCCCTTTCAAGTTCAGGAATTGGCATGGTGGTGGGAGTAGGTGGTGGCTTTGTTGTGTCTTTATCACCTTCTCCCTAGTGCAAGCAATCAAGACCCCCATTCAGGCTTGAAAAAGGAAAGCAGCTGGGAGAGAGAAGGTAGCAGTGGAGATCAAGGAGAGAGGTCCAAGTCAGGTGCTATGAAAGTAGAGCTATCCTGCTTTCATTCTCTAAAGGGCCCCAAAGAGAACACAGGCAGTGGGTACTTTGGTGTATTAGGCTATTCCTGTGGCAGAACGAAAACCTCATAGGTTAGCCTCCTTAAATCTTTTTTCTCTTCCCTCTGTTGTTGTTTAGTCGTTTAGTCGTGTCTCACTCTTCGTGACCCCATGGACCAGAGCACGCCAGGCACTCCTGTCTTCCACTGCCTCCCACAGTTTGGTCAACCTCATGCTGGTAGCTTCGAGAACACTGTCCAACCACCTTGTCCTCTGTTGTCCCCTTCTCCTTGTGCCCTCAATCTTTCCCAACATCAGCAGGGTCTTTTCCAGGGAGTCTTCTCTTCTCATGAGGTGGCCAAAATATTTTTTTTTCTTTACAGCAAAGGAAAGTCCAATGCTGTAAAGAAAAAAAAATGCACAGGAACTTGGAATGTAAGTACAATGGTAAGCTGGATGTGGTCTCTTCCCTCTAAATCTCACTTATTCCCTATCAAACTGCCACTAGTGCCAGTTCTGTGTAAATCTTCCATGAAGTTTTGGTTCAGTCTCTTTTAGCACTAAGCATTCCAGTCCTCATCTCCCTGGTTTGGAGGCTTCAAACATTTTCACATAAATACACTGTCTCACGTGCAACCTTTTGATCTCTTAAAGCAGCTGTCACTTCTTTCAGTATGTTCGTTGCCAAGTTCTATCCTATCCTCACTTAGACAACCTGAAACATTTACATCATCATCACTAATGGATGAGTTGACCATAATTGGATGATTTCAACTTTATTCCAGCAGTTGGTTTAAAATCCTGTCAAAAGGAGGATGGCCATGCAATGTTTAAGCAACTCTGAAATTCTACAGTATATAGGAAGCTAAAATTTTGCAAAGGTGGGAATTTGTGCATAACCCCTCAAAACTAGGAAGCAGCATGCATAATCCAGACCTAAATTCCCTTTAGACATGGTGATCATTTTACTGAACTTTAGTTCCATTTGCACTGCAAATGGTGTGACATTTTTGTTTCTGTTACCAGAGAATCAAAGTGATCAATTTTCATATCTGTGAAGATTCTTTATATGCATTTATATTCCAACTCTAAATGGAGAGTTAGCAGCAGTACATACATTGTTTATCTGTCTGAAATAATAAATTTACTATGAAGAAGAAAGGGCTAGTGAGACAAGTACAGTTAGTAGCTATGTAATCTTAGCTGTCTTTTAACGATTTAGCAGTCCAAGCACATTGACTTCTACCCAAAAGGTGCCCTTGAATAAATATTCTCTGGGTGTTTTGTGAGCAATATAAGGATCAGAAAAGAAAATGGATCCTGTTGATGAATGGTTTTGAAAATGGATATGATATTGCTAGGGAAAATTGGTGTCTGTGAATCCAGGAATCTCAGTTCAAGAATAGAAGGTATGCACTTATCTCCAGACTGCACCAAAATAGTACACTATCTTTATGGTACATTGCTAAGAGTAAGACCCCTCCCTTTCTTATTTCTATTTCAACAGATGAACAGCTGACTGCAGTTTAGTTAACATTTCCTTGCAGCAAATGCTTTGATGTCTATTGTAAGCCATAACTGAATATTTAAGACAGAAACCATGCATTCCTTTGGCCCTGCTTCCTCTTCTATAGAAATCTTATATTAATGGCATGATGAATAGTGATTTTCTCAATTTGAAATACCTAGGGAGGACCCAAAAAGTTTTATATTACATTTTTTAAGGGATCCCACATTATTAGAAACATTAATCATATAATTTTAGTCAATTAATTAACAGACCAAACTATTAAATTTGCATGGCAGTTAAAAAAAAAGTTTTGAAGAGCAGACATTTGTTGTTTTTATATGATGAATACATATGTCATGGTAGGGACCAACTGAGAAGAGGTAGTCCCTCCTATGTAAGGGGGAAATACCGTATTTTTTGCTCTATAAGACTCAGTTTTTCCCTCCTAAAAAGTAAGGGGAAATGTTTGTGCGTCTTATGGAGCGAATGCAGGCTGCACAGCTATCCCAGAAGCCAGAATAGCAAGAGGGATTGCTGCTTTCACTGCGTAGCGATCCCTCTTGCTGTTCTGGCTTCTGAGATTCAGAATATTTTTTTTCTTGTTTTCCTCCTCCAAAAACTAGGTGCGTCTTGTGGTCTGGTGCGTCTTATAGAGCGAAAAATACGCTGCTTATCTTAATATAGTACTTGCCATCTGCAGTTTTTCTTCCCAGAGGGGATGTGGAATTCTTGAACCTCTGAAGGAAGTTTTGGGTGGATGAAGTTGAACAAACAGAGGCTTAATTCAGACAAGATTGGGGGAAGAAACTGGTTGGGGAAAACAGACTATTCTGGATGGAAGCCTGCAACAGGTCTTAAGATAGAATTGCACTCCTCCTGCAAGACCCACTATGCAGATTGGGAGTTCTACTGAAGTTGGCACTAACTGGGACAGCTCAAGCGGTAACGGTAATCAGGAGTGCTTTTTACCAACTCAGACTAATGTCAACTGCATCCCTATCTGGAGAGGACAGGCCTTGCCTTACTAAGTAACTTATTTTATTACCTTGGAAAACGCACTGTGCAGTGCATTGATGCCTGGGTAATGGAACTCCTAGAACTGGCATCTTGAATTAGAGTGCCTCATTCAGTCAACTCAGTGAAAACTGGTGTTTACCCCCATAAAAAGTTATCCCTTGACCTATGACTGTTTTGTAGAAGAACTGCTGGCTTTACAGAAAGCCTACTTATTCCTAGCTACTGGACATATGATGACATAGCTGGCTGCCTCAGTTATTTAGTGAGGAACAACCCTGTCATAGATCCTTTCAGGACCAAGGTCAATTTTGTGTTAGAAAATTCCCTGTACTCTAAAGTCATTCAGATACAGTGGTACCTCGGGTTACAAACATCTTGGGTTACAGACTCCGCTAACCCAGAAGTACCACCTCGGGTTAAGAACTTTACCTCAGGATGAGAACAGAAATTGTGTGCTGGTGGCACGGTGACAGCGGGAGGCCCCATTAGCTAAAGTGGTACCTCAGGTTAAGAACAGTTTCAGGTTAAGAACAGACCTCCGGAACGAATTAAGTTCATAACCAGAGGTACCACTGTACTGATAGGCTATATACTTTCAGTACACAACCTTTCTCCTGTTACTTGCTTATTCTGGGAGGCCTTGTGCCTTTATTTTTCTCTTGCAGGCTCTTCAAAGACCCATGGTGCAGAGTGCAACAGTATGGCTTGCTCCAGTTCATTCCAACCTTTGCAGACACCTTGGGGAATTGCTATTTCAGCTGGAGTATCACCAGCTAAATATCTCCATCTCATGATCCTTCATTTGTGGTTTTCAATCAAAACCTGTCTCTGATGGGAG